TATGTGGGTTCAATTTTAAGATATGGGCTTCTGCTTTGGGGAAATTCTATAATGTCGAAAAAGGTCTTTATAGCACAGAAAAAATGCGTAAGAGCTATCTGTGGTGTAAAACCAACAGATACATGTAGACCATTATTTAAAAAACTAAAAATATTAACACTTACATCCATGTATATTTATGAAGTAGGAATATTTGTTAAACAAAACCCACAACTTTTTACAAAACTTTCAAATATGAATGAAGTCACATCAAGAGATCCCACAATGTTGAAACTGCCCATCTGCAGAACCACACTGTATCAACAAAACTGTGATATAATGACTATTAAAATATATAATAAAATACCAAAATCAATAAGAGAACTACCAGTAAGTCACTTTAAATTACGGTTAAAAAAATGGTTACTGGAATGCAATTTTTATTTAATAAATGACTTTTTAAAAAATTAAATGAATGTATGTAAATGTGTAATTTCATTTGTATTGTATGACATTTGTTATATTATTGACTTGTTATGTATTTGTTTTTGTTTAGTTTGTATTTGTATTTGTTTAGTCTGCTACCACTAGTATGTTTGCGGCTGCCAATATTTATGGATTGATCCTACTAGGCTATTAATATACGTAAGCCACTAAATTATAATACTAAATTTGCATGCCTTTAGATAAGGCGAAATGTGTAGATCTATTATATTTAAGACCATTATTATTACCACATTTCTAGCAAATAAATAAATTATTATTATTATTATTACTTATGCAAACTTTATTACTCAGCTATAGCTGGTATATACGCTACTTTGCGTATACTGCACTTACGGGCCGAGACCAAGTAAGTGCAGTGTGTGAGTTTTTGTGAGTGTGCGTGTGCGCGCCCATGCATGCATATGCATGTGCATGCTCGCGCACCTATGGCTATGTGTATGCAACTATTACATGTTATGTCACTGTGGTATTATTAAATGTTTCGTTTTCTATTTGCAGGAATTTTCGAACAATTCTGCATGTATTCAATATTACAGCTTTTTGTAGTGTTGTATATAGTGTTTTACGCAGGTCTATTTCTTTCAGGCTATGGTGTAAATGTTTGGGTATAACACCTGTGGTTGAGAGGACAATGGGTATCACATAAACTTTTTCTTGTTTCCAAAGTCTTGTTATTTCGTCTTTCAGTTCTGTGTATTTACTTATTTTTTCTGCTATTGTCTTCTGGATGTTATGTGTATTGGGGACGGCGATATCTATTAGGTAAGTTATTTTATTCGTTTTATTTTGTAAGATTATGTCTGGTCTATTGTAATGTATGGTCTTATCAGTGAGTATGGCTCGGTCAAAATATAGCTTATGTGTCGCGCTTTCTAACACAGTTTGTGGAGTGTATTTGTAATATGGAGTATGTGTGTTTTGTATTAGATTGTACTTGTGTGCTAGGTTTTGGTGAATAATATTAGCTACTTGATCGTGTCTGTGCTTGTAGTCTGTCTGTACTATTGCCTTGCATGAGCCTGTAATGTGTTGAATTGTTTCTGGAGAGCTATTGCATTTTCTACATGTATCAGAGGTGAGTGTTTTTGTAATATATTTCTGATAGTTTCTGGTCTCAATGACTTGATCCTGTATAGCTATGATAAAACCTTCAGTCTCCGGGTATAAAATTCCTCGACTTAGCCATGCGTTCGATGCTTCTTTATCGACATTGGATTGACATAAGTCGTGTCGGTGTCTCCCATGTAAGGACTTTTCAGACCACGCCGTTAGTTTAGTTTGATTGTTGACGAGCATCTCATTTGTCTGTGTACTTCCATCTTTCAAATTTAAAGGTGTCAATTTATTGTCATTTTGTACTATGGATTTGTGAAGCGCTGATGATTCCATTTTGCTGAAGAAATATTGTCTTAAACTTGAAATTTGTGTGTTGTGTAAGTTTACGATATCAATCAAACCCCTGCCTCCTTCTTTTCTAGGTAGAGTTAATCTTTGTATGCAAGATCTAGGGTGGTGTTTACGATGTTTTGTCATATTTATGTTGATTGTGCGCTGTAATGATTTTAGGTCTGATTTGGTCCAGTTTATTATGCCGAAAGAATAAGTTAGTATGGGTATAGCATAGGTGTTTATCGCTTTAATCATATTTTTGGAATTAAGTTGGGTTTTTAATACCGCATTCAGTCTGTGCCGGAATTGTTGCTGTAGTTTTAGTTTTATTTCTTTATGGTTTATAAAAAGTGCTTGGTTGTAACCTAAATATTTATATACTTCTTGTTCGCTAAGTGATGTTATTTGTTCTCCTGATTCTAATGTGTAGTTATATGGGTGTTGACTTCCTGCCCTAATGGAATTTATTTTACATTTCTCTAATCCAAACTCCATTTTTATGTCATTTGTAAATTGTTCTACTATTTTCGTTAATTGGTTCAGTTGGTTTTCGGTTTCGGCATATAATTTTATATCATCCATATACAATAAATGGTTTAATACATTTTTATTCATATTTGAAGACTGATCATCAGTTTCTTTATAGTTTAAAGGGTATCCTACTGAAGAAGAGTTAAGCATATTTGAGAGAGGATTTAGAGCCAAACAGAACCAGAGTGGGCTGAGGGCGTCTCCTTGGAATATGCCTCGTTGTATTTTGATCGGTATAGTTTGTATTGTAGCTGTGAGAGTTTTAAGTTGTAATTGTGTTGTCCAGTTTGCCATTGCTGTTTTCAAGAAAGTTGTTATTTTTGGATGAATTTTATACATTTCTAAGATTTGTACTAACCAAGTGTGAGGTATTGAGTCATATGCCTTTTTATAATCAATATACATAGTGTGTAAGTTTGATTTAGCTTTATGAACTTGTTTTAGTATTACTGAATCTATAATTAATTGCTCCTTACATCCTTGAGAAAATTTCCGGCATCCTTTTTGTTCTTCGTTCAAAATATTATTAGTGTCAACATGTTGATATATTAATTCAGCTATGCAGGCAGTAAGTATTTTGTATAGTGTTTGTAGGCAAGTTATAGGTCTATATTTGGACGGATTTTTACGGTCATTGTGGTCTTTTGGTATCATAAATGTTATTCCCATTGTTAGATGGGAAGGCATCGTATTAGAGTCTTGGATAAAATTGTTTATGTAGTTAAGTAAATGGATATGAGTATTTGTAAATTTTTTATACCAATAACAATGTATATAATCTGAACCTGGTGATTTCCAATTATATGAATTACGAAGTACCTTTTCAAATATATCTGTCGGAATATGTTCAAATGCCATTGGTTCTATTGTTATATCACTTTTGTTAATTTCTTTTTGGATCCAATCAGCAGAGCAATTGTGTCGAACAGGTTGTTCCCATATTCCTGCCCAGAAAGATTGTAATTCTTCGGGGTTGGGTGTGTCAATCTCATTGCTATTATTGTGTTGTGTGTTTGTCGTATTTTGTTTAATGTTTCGGTAAAATTGTTTTTCGTTAGTGTCGAATTGATTATTTTGTTGTTTTCTTAGTGTACATGCATTATATCTTCTTAGCCGACCCGATGTAACTGAAAGTTTTTGTTTCAGTGTGTCTAATATATGTGTAAAACATGTATTTGGTGATTCATGTATGGAATGGATTTTGTACTGCTCTTTTATTTTATTTACTTGTATCTTATTATTATTATTATTACACTGTCGAAGCATCAGTGAGGAATAATAGATGAGCATGAAACAGATCAGTTTACTCATCGTGACAGATTCACCAAGAATTAACCATTATGGTTTTCAGAAGGGCTGCGTGGAAGTCGACATACTATAATATGTTGCTAGAAATAAGATAGTTAGACCCCCATTACCACCAATTCCTTTCCCTTCAACTTGACAAGTTAGGTAGATAGATACTTGCCATTATTGGCACTTAAATAATGGACAAAACAAACCAGTTTTATCTATGTCTTCAGTTGCAATTTGTAGGATAAAATCGAATCAGTACAACTGTCCGGTTTTAAGCGTTCTTAATATGCCATAATGTATTCTTGTTCCTCTTCCTTTCCCGTGGGTGTCGTAAGAAGTGACTAAGGTAACTCAATGGTCGAGGGATGGGCAGCAGCGTCCCTTTTAAAAGATCACCAAAAACCTAACTGCGGTTGCCAACCTGCCTGCCAAGTGTAGCAGCTACTGACAAAACTCACCCTTATTCTGGTTTCCTTATTCTGTCAACTTGCACAGGCAAATTATTGGTTACGAAGTGACCAAAATTATTTTCCATTGTAGTGTTTAATTCTTTAGTGGTACAGAGTAAGAATACAAACGTGTTATCATTCCTTTTCATATCCAAGATTTCTCTGGTTTTTTATTTAAGCGTGAGAAATTATTTTGGACTATCTGTGTAACTACATATTTTTGTATGCCGTGCGGTACAGGGTATGAGTCTACTGGGAACGGCTTATCTAGAACTAGGGGACTACAGATATCTTAAACCGCGGGATATCGTTAGGTTAACACATAGGATCTATGAAATTATGGTATAAGGCAGGGGGAAGCACAAAAGATCCGTATGGGTCGACGTGCAACGGCTTAACTGACCTCATATGCGAAAAATAAGATAAGATGGCGTACAGGCTAAACATAAGTAAGAAGAAGAAAGTCGAACGATATTGTATTGTTAACATCTGCATGTATACACACATGTTTTACAAATAAATAATCCTGAATCTTCAAATGGAAAAAAGGAAGCTCTTAGTACTATGATGCAACTTGAGATCTTCAATCTCAGGACCGTGAATGACACTCCTGGTTCTATGAAATGAAATGAAATGAATGAAAGATCGTTGCATTGCTAGCGAGTCCGTGAGATAGAATGAGATAGCAACGTCATATGTCTCATTCTAACTCATGGTGACACTTGTCTAGAGGCCCTGATATTCATACGCTACGACTACCATATTACACACCCTAAAGTTTTTGACACTTTTGGTGCATACAAAAATATACCATATTATCGCAGTAATTGGATATTATTTCTATTGCAGGTTCTGTAGTAATCACGGCAATAAATGTCCACGTCCAGGGACGGCGCCGGCGGAGCTCATGTGCGTCGCCGAGGCCATGATGCCGCGTCTCATATTGCGACTACTACAGCATTTCAGAGAGAACAGGTGATTATGCTCAGTATATGATTTGTACACGTTTATCAGTCGATACCGCTGTTCGGAGATTTTCGAAGGAGGAAGCGTGCTGACGCGCGCGGTCGGCTGCTATCGTTGTCGAACAGATGCAATTTGCAAATCATTAAAAGTATAGAATAATGTAAATCATAATTTTTGTTTATTTGAACTTAATACTAAGATAATTTTTTGATAATTTTACTGTTCATTTGAAGAAACTGTTATAGCTGAGAAGAATGGATAGGAAACTTAATTGTTTAAAAAAAAAAATAATAGTAGCATATTTTCATATAGCGTATCTTTATTAAATTCAGGAGATTTTTAATATCTTAAGTTTGTTATATGTTTTGCGTCACTTTTCAATTCAGTTCAAAGAACGGATGAAGTTTTCAATTCTGTGGTGTATTTTTATGTTTGTTACCTCATAACTTAGTTAAAGACCGATTCGGTAAATTATTTTTACTATCTAAAAGGATATTCTTTCAGATTAATTCCATAGAAATATATTAGAAATACGTATTATATGTATATCCCATAGAAAATCAGTAATTTAGTTTTAAATCTAAGTAACTGGTTATTTTAAATCAAAGTAAATAATTTTGCTACAATTAATGTATTTTTTTATGGAACTTAAATTATAACAGTAAAAAATATATATAAATAAGGCAGAGTTCTTTTTTTTATACAACTTAGAATGGCAAACAAGCTGACGATCCACCTGAGGGAAAGTGATAACCGCCGCCCATAGACATGAGCAGTACCTTGGACATAACAGAGTATACTGTTTCGCCCGTGATACCCCCCATACGTTGCCATTCCTGAGGATTCAGATATTATTCCTCTGTACCCTGTAAATTCACGCCATATCCCACCCTTCAAACCGAAACACAGTCATGCAAACACGACTGCTTCACGGTTAAAACACGAATGGGGCAGAGGTACGCAAGCAATCGACTTTTGTACAAAGTCTCCTTCTGGTAATTCTTCTAGAAATAATGAGTATAATGCTGGAGTTATCCCATAAATTTCTTCAAATTGTTACACTATAAGTGACTATAATATAAGTAAATCCCGTGTTGCAGTGTAACATCAGGGCCGCAGACGCCGTCGGACAGTTACAGGAAGTCGGTGCAGGAGTGCGAATACTACGTGCAAATGCTAATGGAGTTCAACAACATGGGCGACCTCATGAGGTCCGCCATGACCGAGGCACTCATCAATCCCCAGGTATGTCTGACTACATTCACTATATTATATACTTTTGGACTCGACACTAGCCTGTCAACCGACTTCGAGAAAAAGGAGGTTCTTAATTCAATTTTTTTTATATCTGTTACCTCGTAACTCCGTCAGTTGTAAACCGATTAAAAAAGGGGGGGGGGGAAGGGATTGTTAGTAATAGAGACTGAGAGATCCCATTGCTAGCAATATACCCAACCAGGTCAACATCCTCGCGGTTCCCCCTGGAAACTATCATGGTTAATTCCTGATGAATTCATCATGATGGGCTAACTGGCCTGTTTTCATTCTCATCTATCACCCTTCACTGGTGCCCCGCCAACGTATTCCGTTAGCGCAGGCGGAGTTATCATTCCATTTTCATCCAATAAAAAAAAAAAAACCGATTAAAAAAAGCTTTTTTTTTTTTGAATTGAGAGAGATACGTTCAGATTAGTTTTATAGAAATTTTATTAAAATCGTATCAATAGTTTTAAATTTAATAAATTGCTGATGCTTGATTACAGATGTACCGCAACCTGGTGGTGCCTCCGTTCCCCGACACGGAATACGGGTGCTACATGGCCGAATCGCACAAGATGTACGAAAAAGCTATAGACTCATTTCCAGCGCCGGAGCCACCTGACGAGTTAGTATATCAAATTTCTGATATTTGTTTGTTTTATACCATACCATAGCAACCATTGTTCACTGTTGCACATAGGCCTCCCCATATGGGGGTTTTGCCAGTAGTTTCCACGCTTGAGAAGCGGGTTGTTGTTGAGAAGCAGTTAGGCTTACCTCTCCATCATTAAGTTCCCATAGTCTCTTACTACAAAGTTTCTCTCTTATTTTCTTTTTTTTTCACTACAATGTCATACACTCTTAAAGTAATTTTTATATGTTTTTTTTTTTAATGGATGGTAATGGAATGATATGGAAAATACAAACACAAAGCAAGACTAGGCAATACCATAAAATCTACTTGGTCTTCAGTACCTTACCGCGAAACACTGCCAACGAGTCTTTGCTTACGTCTATATCCAGATCTAAACCGCATATATGATTATAGATATTGCATATTCTTGCAAGCGGAGCACTCAATCCTTAATTAGTTTTGCACAGTGGCACATAAAATATTGATGGGATACGTAGGTATACTGTGTGATAATGTTATGGTAAAGCTGTCTTATGCATCTTTTTTTATACAACTTAGAATGGCAAACAGGCTGATGGCCCACCTGATGGAAAGTGGTAACCGTCGCCTATAGACATGAGCAGTACCATGGACATAACAGAGTATACTGTTTGTCCACGATACCCCCCTCCCCATGCGATGCCATTCCTGAGGACTCAGGTGTTATTCCTCTGTACCCTGTAAATTCACGCTATATCTTACCCTTCAAAACGAAACACAGCCAGGCAAACACAACTGATTTACGGTTGATACACGAATGGAACAGAGATACACAAGCAAATGGCTTTTGTACAATGTCTCCCTCTGGTGAGCCCTACTAAACAAATGCAAACAATAATAATTTGTAAATACAATCTTGCACGCTCGCAGTTATAAACACCTGCCGGCCCTCGCGCCCCGGCTGCAGCACAACACGCTACTGGACGAGTTCATATTCTGGACGTTCAAGTACGAATTCCCGCAGAACATTGTGTGTTTCCTGCTAAATATGCTGCCCGATCAGGACTATAAGGTATTGTTTGAAAACTGTTTAAACATCCTACTCTTTTATGAAGAAAATTTGTTTTATTCTAATGGGATTTTTTTTAATGGGTGATAATGGAATGGTAACCCCGCCCGCGCTGTCGGTATACACCGGCGGGGCACCAGTGAAGGATGATAGGTGATGATAAAACCAGGTCAGTTAGCCCATCGTGACGAATTCCACTACGATTAATCACGTTGGTTACCAGGGGAAACGCGTGGAGGTCGACCTGACAGGGTGTATTGTCAATTAGACACCATTATTATTAGGAGTACAAATAAGTTTCCGCCGTTTTTTAACACAAATTAAATATTTATTATAGAAGAACGGTAATATAGATTTATATAAAATATTGCCCATCACTTGCAACCACTTTTTCCCATCTCTCAGGCAGCATTCGAATTCCACGTCTGAAGAACTCCTTGTCTTTTGAGGCTATCCACGAATCAACCCAATTTTTGGTATCCTCATAAGATGTAAACCGCTGCGTCGTCAGAGTATGTGCCATGGACCGAAACAGGTGATAATCGGACGGTGCAATGTCTGGTGAATACGGCGGGTGGGGTAACACTTCCCAATCAAGTGTTTCCAAGTACTTTTTTACGGGAGCCGCAACATGTGGACGAGCATTGTCATGCAGAAGAATAATTTTTTCGTGTCTAGAATAGTATTGAGGGCGTTTTTCTTTCAGAGCTCGGCTCAATCTCATCAATTGTGTTCGATAGAGGGCTCCAGTAATTGTTTCGCTCGGATTAAGCAACTCATAATACACTACACCTAGCTGATCCCACCAAATACACAGCATAAGTTTTTTTCCGTGAATATTCGGTTTTGCTGTTGATGTTGACGCGTGGCCAGGTAATCCCCATGATTTTTTTCTTTTTGGATTGTCATAATGTATCCACTTCTCATCACCAGTTACGATACGATGTAAAAAACCCTTTTTTTTATGTCTAGCTAGCAGCATTTCACTTAAGCATAATCGGCGTTCAATATCTCTCGGCTTTAATTCGTACGGAACCCAATTTCCTTGTTTATGAATCATTCCTAATGATTTTAAACGATGTGAGACTGCTTGCTGAGTGACTTCTAATGTTAGAGCAAGTTCTTTTTGTGTTTGAGATGAATCCTCCTCCAATAATTCCTCCAATTCTGCATCCTCGTAAATTTTTGGCCTTCCACTGCGATCTTTGTCTTCTACGTCGAAATCACCGTTTTTAAACTTTTGAAACCACTCTCGACACGTTCTCTCACTCAAAGCACCCTCACCATATGCTTCTACGAGCAATTGATGCGCCTTAGCAGCAGATTTCTTTAAATTAAAGAAGTAAATTAATATTTCCCGCAAATGACGCTTATTTGGCTCAAATTTTGACATTTTCAAGTTATAAAAATTATATTTTACCAATATCAAATCAATAATATTAATAGGTTATGTTGGTCTTGAATGTCGAAACTATTTTTTAAGCCGGTTATCATCTGCGAAAGCTAACCGAAACTCCGTGCCGCGCCATCCACAATAAAACGGCGGAAACTTATTTATACTCCTAATAATAATACCTTTCTCCCCTCTAACGGGATATAACTCCATTTTTTGGATGGAGAGGAGTAATTATGAACAATTTGATTGGAGGCACGATGAAATTCTATTATTTCTTAATATATAAATATGATACATGTAATAATGTAAAATATATATCCCTACTATATATATATATATATATATATATATATATATATATATATACACATTGAAATGTAGTAATTTATTTCCCAACAAATGAATAACATAGTGTGTACTGCACGGTTGCAGGAACACCTGACACGAACGTTCGTGATGCACTACGCGCGCATCCCGCTGGTGCTGGAGGCGGCGTCGGACCCGGACACGCTGTCCAACCGCGTGGTGCACATGTCCGTGCAGCTGTTCTCCAACGAGGCGCTGGCGCTGCGCTGCGTGCAGCAGCTGCACCTGCTGCACGTGATGGTGCTGTCGCTGCGGCTCATGATGGGCAAGATCCTGGTGCAGAACACGCTGCACGACCCGCACCACAACTTCCACTACGTCATCGACTGCACGCGCCGCGTCATGAAGGAGCACTGCTACTGGCCGCTCGTGTCCGACTTCAACAACGTACTCTCGCACAAGAGCGTCGCGCTGCTCTTCCTGCAGGACGACGCGCTCGTCGACATGTGGTTCGAGTTTCTATCAATGTTGCAAGGTGCGTTCTGGATTTTTGGTTTACAATGAAACAAAATTTGTTATCTATGTGGTGAGATAATACTCACCAATATTTATAATATATGTCAACTTTTATAATATAATTGAATCTTAAAAACAAGCAGACAAACAAACATTTTGTTATATATATATATATATATATATATATATATATATATATATATATATATATATATATATATATATATATATATATATGTATATATAATATGTCACGGTCACGGCACTCGCTCGCAAGATGCGCGCGCAGGTCACGCAGGCGCTTTGTGATTGTTGGCGGCGCGCGCATACCAAGCATGTACGAGCGACGAGAGAGAGAGTGTTTTGTTAACTTGGACAATTTAAAATTTTGTTTATTCTAAAATACTTATTGTTTTTGTTAATTATTGATTAAATTTATTTACAATATGAACCCTTACTATCAATCCTACATCTTCATCATGTCAGCCTTTAACTGTCCACTGCTGCACATAAGCCTCCCTCTTGGAGGGATTTGCCAGTAGTTGTCACGCTTGGCAGGCGAATTGGCAACGTTAGGCTTTGGAGATGATTTAAGAGGGATAGACTTTTTGTCAGCTAATTTGACAAAAAGTTGACCCGCTTTTGATGCTCGATGCTCTATCTATATAAAGTTCCTTACTGTGACTAGACAGTATTCGTGATAAACAACAAGACGCCGATTATCGCTGTCTCGTTTCTTCTCGTGCAGTCTGTGACGATTATTTTTATGTCGATAGATTCATTTGCTATTTGTCCAGTGGATTAGATGTAATCTAACTGGTAGTACAAGAAATTAGTATTTTCAAACTGTACTTTTATTGTATTATTATAAATGAAATATTATGACTGCAGGTTTTTGACTCTTGAGACAAATGCTTTTTTAACATGTTGAGCCAGGCGCCGAATTTGCTATCCTTTCCGTCATCCGGCAGCCGGCGAGAGATACAATGTTGTATGCTATCGCCAAGGGATTACTTTAGTACTAATGAGATAAGGAATTCTTTGTCGCGCTATTTTGGACGTTTTTTACGTGTATGTGTAATGTATGTGTGATTCTATTCCATATTTTCGTATGATGTATAGTAAAACCACGTACGTACATTCGAGAAGTGATCAGTTACAAAAGACCTATCCAAGTGTACAGATTGTTCGTAAAAAGAAAATTTAATTTAGTTTTGGAAATAGTTCTTGTCCATAACATTGAATATGTCCGACGCTGGTCACACCGAAAATTCTAATGCTGGTCCCCAGAGACCGACGCTGGCCACACGGAAAGTTCGCTACCGGTCCCTACGGACCGGCGCCGGCCACTCGGAAAGTTCGCTGCCGGTCCCAATGTATTAATATTGGTATGGTCCAGTGATAAATTAATAGAATAATGTACGGGCGCGCAGGCATGAACGTGAACGTGCGCGAGGTGGGCACGCACATCGAGTTCGAGCCGTCGTCGTACTACGCGGCGTTCTCGTGCGAGCTGGAGGCGGCCGCGTACCCCATGTGGTCGGTGCTGGGCCACCTCACCGAGCCCGCGCACGCGCCGCTCGCGCGCCGCCTCATCGCCGCCGCGCTCACCTACCTGCAGGACTGGCTCGACGCCGTGCACTTCACCAAGCCGCACATGGAGCGGGTGAGTACACGTACATACATACATACATACACACGCACATAGCTCGCAACACATCCTGCCTAGTAATCTACCCTGTAACACCGGTACTCTCCACCATATAACGCGGGAATTAAAGATTCTATTAAAAAAAGATATCGCTGGAACATTATTTCAGATACCTCCGGCAGCGAATAAACATGTAATAAAACTGTTAAGTTTATTTGAAATTAACTATTTTTTAGTTTATATTTAAAATGTTCTTAATTTTATTCCATAAAACTATCATTTCATAACATAATTTTTTTCTTTATGAAAAATGAAAATGGAATATTTATTTGCTTTAAACAGACATTTGACATTATAAAGGCCATACGACAAAACTTTTTGGCATCTGTTTAATTGCCTTAAAATTGTAGGCATGCAAATCTAATTTATTATTTAAATGAGGATACAAATTTAACTTAGAGATTATTAAGATTATAGAATAATAAAAAAAGAAAAAACAATTCTCAAGCAATTATCAAGTCAAATCAATAAATGTGTGTTTATATTCGATTTAAATTCTTTTTAACGTGGAAACTTAAACGGGAATCATTTATACATACCGCGTTATACGGGAATACTCCAATAACGCGTTTTCTTTTAACGCGGAACGAATCTACCGTGTTATAGGGAGGATTATTGTATAACTAACCCATTAATGTTTCTACTGTAAAGCAGCTATGTTTACACAACTATATTTAAATTTGAAAGGTAGGATACGATAGTGAAATTACAGGATACGCAAGTATAAGATATGTATTTTCGTGAATAATGGATGTCATGTGCATTAAGTGTATTACGTGGTGTTCACGATGCTACTTACAGAAGACAGTTATTATTTTCCATCAGACTAGTCGGTTGCTATTACAATACAAAATATACAATATAATAATACAAAAGTCGATTACTTGGGTACCTCTGTCTCATTCGTGTTTCAACCGTTAAGCAGTTGTGTTTGTATGGCTATGTTTCGGTTTGAAGGGTGCGATATGGCGTGAATTTACTGGGTACAGAGGAATAACACCTGAGTCCTCAGAAACGGCAACGCATGGGGTGTATCATGGGCGAAACAGTATACTCTGTTATGTCCATGGTACTGCTTATGTCTATAGGCGACGGTTACCACTTTCCATCAGGTGGGCCGTCAGTTGTTTGCCATTCTAAGTTGTATAAAAAAAACAATATTTTTCGTTTGTGTTTTTATACAGTCTGGTTTCTTACTATTCAATTCGAAATTGCAGTTTTTTTTTTTTTTTTTTTTTTTTTTTTAATTTAATTCGAAAGAGAACTATATGTAAAACAATATAAATTTCTCTTATATTAACGTGTGTGATACTATATCACTGGGGAGAAACCAATGAGTTGCGTGTGTTAACAGTATAAATATTTTAAAAGTGTAAGTAGAGGAAGGAAGGGAGAGTCAAGAGAGAGTAAGGGTGGGTAGTGCATAAATCGGTGAATGGATGAAAATTGTTTACTTTTATGTGCACAATAAAATGTACGTGTATAAGTGGTGAGTGGTAATGATGGCGGTGCGCGGTGCAGGCGGAGGTGATGCAGGCGTCGTTCCACTTCCCGCTGCACCGGTACCTGGCGGCGTTCCTGTGCGCGGGCGTGCGCCACATGCGGCTGGCGGCCGCCGCCGTGCTGCCGCCGCCGCGCCTGCTGGCGCTGCTCGCCGTGCACCCGCTGCGCGTGCAGGTACGTGCCCAACGCTCATCGTCATACATCATCACTCTTAACTCCTGTACACTCGTGCACAAGCTGATGCTTAACGCTAAATGTTTACTAATTCCAATTTCAAACTCTAAAATTGATCAGTTTGTTCTCGGATTGCATTTTAATTGAAGACTTAAGTTTAAAACCAGAGGAAGACTTTGTACAAAAGTCGTTTGCTTGGGCATCTCTGTCCCATTTGTGTTTCTACCGTGAAACAGTTGTGTTTGCATGGCTGTGTTTCGGTTTGAAGGATGGGATATGGCAGTGAATTTACAGGGTACAGAGGAATAACACCTGAGTCCTCAGGAATGGCAATGCATATCACGGGCGAAACAGTATACTTTGTTATGTCCATGGCACTGTTCATATCTATAGGCGACGGTTACCACTTTCCATCAGGTGGGCCGTCAGCTTGTTTGCCATTCTAATTTAGAAACTAGAACTAGAACTTATAAAAAAAAAAAAGATTGGAATCAGAATTAATTTAAATATAGTTCTTGATGGTTCATGATATAAAACGACTATTTTTTTAAAAGGTTTCCTTTGAATTTGTGTTTTTATATGATTTTAAAATTACATTCTCTTTTTGAGTTATGAAAAAAAAAGACGGTTGTAATCGTACCATACAAATTTTATTAAAATACAGTAATTTTATTGATCAGTTATCAATTTTATATTTTGCCGTATTTTTTTAAATATTAAAAAGTCGGCAATCGTATTATTTAATAACGGCTATTTATTAGAAATAGCAGAAATATGAAATAACATAAAATATATCTTGCAAATATACATACAGCGGGATTCGTTAATCATAGATATAAAAAAAAAATATCAATTTTTGCATTGGGCTTAGTTTAAAAGTTGGCGTGTATATATATAGTCTTAACAATATATCGTATTTTTAATTAAAAAAAAAAAAACTAAGACCAAATGTTTCGTATAATTAAATAGATCAATTTATACAAGATTTCTGTATTTAACAATAATGTGATAATAATATAATTTTATTATTATATTCGGATATTTGTTTGAGTGCGTGCCTGACAACCAAAATGGCCGATGCGTTGGTTTTCGACCATTTTAATAGTTGCGGCGGGTGGTGCGGCGTCTTAAATAGGAGATACCGCTAACAATAGCTATAGAATTTTATTAAAATAAATAAGCTAAATTCCTTAGTAATTACAAACGCGCAAGTGAGTTTGTTTATGACCTTTTTTAACGGCTCAACTAATTGTCATGAAGTTTGATACACATGTATTATTTGAAATTGAGAAGGACATAACGCTACTGTTTTTACTGTTCTCATAAGGATTCCGGTCAATTGACATATTTCCATCATCAGGATGAAGTTGTGGGTAAAAACTAGTATTACATAAAGAAGTAATTGTGTGATTTTATTTATTTATTCATTAGTACAAATATGTGTACATGGCGGACTTAATGCTAAAAGCATTTCCTCAACCATAGGGAAGTGTCAGAATATTCGAATGCGGTACTACTAATTATTGATATACATACATACTAAAATTACATATATAAACGAATAAATATATATATAAATAACAAATATACTTACACATATATGACATATACTATATTATACACGAAATTGAGAATAAGATAAAGTACTATAAAATAATAGTAAAGTTAATATAAGTGATTATATTTAAAACGCATTTTTGCGCGCAATTCCATATCTATTGATTGGAACTCGTGACACGTTAAACATTGAAAACGATGCGGTAATGTAGCTGTGATATAAGAGCCCCCCCCCCCCCCCCCCCCCCCCCCGTTCTTTATGAGTAATACTGGAGGTCCCGCGAACACTAGTGTGGCCCTGAGCGTGGTGGGTCGCGGGGCGCTAGCTGGGTTCGCGCGGCTGACGGGCGCGCACGTACGGCGCGTAGTCATAGGTGAATAGCTTGAGCGCCACGAACCCGCCCGAGCCCACCGCGCCGCGGTGCGACACGCCCGCCCCGCTTAGCAGCACTCCGCCTGCGCACGCGCACACACACGCCAGTGGAAATACAATGCTCGCCGCCACCCGCGTTTACTGGGTTACGCTGCCAGGGTACACCAGTGAGGAGGATGATGGTTGTTAGGTGAACACCCCACACGAACAAAATTAACGCTCGAAGATTCGAACGCAGTGATTAAAAATGGGAATTTATTTATCCGTACTTTCTATATCCAGATCGTCTTTGTTTGTCCTGTTATTAGTCGGTTTTTTGTCTATCAAATGTTTTGAAACCATTCAAAAATATCAGAACAAAAAAATGATTGTTTATTTACAAAAGTTTCAGTAATGAACTGCAAAATATGCTTAAAAATTTGTCTCTCAACAACTTAACAGTCTAAATACTTATTAAACTTAGGAAAATATGTATTTAAAGATGATGAATGCTAATAAAAAAAAAAAAGTCAAAAGTAATTTCCATCATCATCACCATATCAGACATTGACTGTCCACTGCTGAACATACTCCTCCACTAAGTAAGGAGGAGTTTATCAATAGTTGCCATGCTTAGTAGGCGGGCTGGCAACCGCAATTAAGCTTTAGTTGTTTTAAGAAGGTAGCTGCATGTTATAAATAAATTGTTATACTTTTACTAAAAAACATGAATATATATTTAGCCAAGAAATAAGTAAAAAAAATAAGTGATTAAATTATTATTATTAATCATATTTGAAAGCTAAATCGATCAGATGAATTTATACTCTAATCGGGCCTTAACAAAATCACAACAAAACAAATCCTAAATACGAAAAGAGCGTTGTCAATACATACGAGTATATGGCTGCAGTGGTTGTATGTCGATGAACGGCACAGTGCTCTGCGCCGCATCATTGTCAAAGTCGCTGTGTGTGAACTCCATGAACTGGTCGTGCTTGGAGTCCACTGGCAACGCAACAGCGCTCCGTGTCGGTAGACTGGGCCGGTTCAGATTCAAACGGCTCCTACGAACAACTATTTGTCAGAGGAAAGCTGTGTACAATGCCATCGTCATGGGTATCTCTGACGACCAGACTACTATGCTTTTATAGATGTGTTCCTGTTTTTTTTCTTTAATGGGTGAAAATGAAATGGTAACCCCGCCCGCGCTATCGGTATACACCGACGAGGCACCAGTGAAAGATCATAGATGAGAATGAATGCAGGTCAGTTGGCCCACCATGATTAATTTGACAAAAATTAAACATGATGGTTTCCAGGGGGAACCGCGAGGTTGAGTATATTGCTAGCCATGGGATTCTTAGTCTCCATTACTAACAATCCCATTCCCCCCGATGTGTTCCTGTTTGTACAATGGAATATAACAGTCAAATCATTGTCCATTCGATGATCTGTCCTCCTAGATGGCGGGACACCAGTGACAATCGAAACCATCAGTAGATAAGTTGTCATCGCCGTGTACTTTGGAAAGTAAAAGAGCTAAAATACCTTAAAGTTTGAAGGCGAATGTCTTTAACTAGTGCGTGTCGCCAGAGATGACCAATGGTACAGAAAGATGACAAAAAGAATGGGACGTCGGAAGCGAGTAAAGGAAGTTGGTGTAGACACAACAGTTGTGAAGGAAATACATGCCAGAAATTGTAGTAGATCGGAAGGCCGAGACGTATACCCGTGTGTCTTTGCTCTAGAACTGGTCAGATCACTAGAAAAGAACACGTCTGGCGCTCGTTTGCCATTCCTAGCGTACTAAGAGTACAACAAATGCCAAGTCTAAATATTTAGTTCTTTCTATTACTCACCTAGGATTTTCGCTTGCGTCTGTGTTATCGTTGCCTAACCACATACTGTTGTTGTAAGACAGACGGCCAGTTTGGAAGTTGAATTTTGTGATCCGGATGTACAGGTTCAGATGCGAGCCGAGCATGCGAAACCTATAATAAAGATATTAACATCAGTGATTGGTGAACGATCAACGGTTTTACTTCATTAATGTATTACCATTTAACTGTCTATTGCTGAACGTAGCCTCCCGTTTTGGTTACCAGTAGGTGCCACGCTAGGCAGGCGGATTAGCAAAATGTTTTCAGAGGAACGGTGCTACCCATCCTTCGCCTTTTCTTAGTCGCGTTTTCCTATCCCCACGGGAAAGAAAGTGGTGGCCTATTCTATGCCGGGACTACACGGTCAAGATTTTACAATATAATACATTATTCAAAGTCGACGTTCTTCTAATTATACGAGAGTTACCTCTTAACGCTAAGTGGTCTAGAACTTGTTTGCTCTTGCGTGTAAAATAAATAAAAGAAACTGTAAGAACGAATAGGTCACAGTAACTACGTAATATGCTATTACGTAACTATCTGATCGATCTTCAAAGAGAAGCAATAACATAGGCAAACTATGATAATCACCTAACTCCGGTCAAAACCCATCCGGTCGGCGCCACCACATCGTCTAGATCGATAGCTCTTGCAATGTGACTCAATGTGTGGTAATCTACGCCATTTTGTTGTTGGTCAATATTGATTCTTTCTATCGGGAGCCAAGATCCCGGACTGACGAATCCCTCTTGATGAAGGGTGCTCTCGCTGATTTGAAAATGGAACACCTTATCAAGTTTCACCAGACGAATTCCGGTTACAACCCTAAAAGATATCTCTGCTTTAATAAATTGTTATTAAAATATAATCATATGAAACAACATCTCTTCAAAGAGATCCGGGTGAGAATTGTTACTAACTTGTTTTCTCGAATATCGGAGGTGACTTCCTTGAGACTGAAGTAGCGGTCAGAGTTTTCTGGGTCGTCGCACAAGCACATGCAGTATGAACAGTGCCAGAACAACCAGCGCCACCACGAGTTCACCTGCGACAACATCCAAAGCGTTACGAAAGGATGACACGCAAAATCGTGAAGCGTTTCACATTAAAAAAATATATAACAAGAGAGAAGAGGAGTTTCTTCGCCCACTAATTCCCACAAAGAATACTTAAAGAAGATTACGCTACACCAAGATGGAGTGCGCTTAGATCCAAAGACCCAAGAGTTGTTGCCCCAGGAGTTGAAGCTGGGGTAAAGGGGAATTCCCCGTAAGCCTTGCCAACCCTTACCCAAGGATTGACGACCATCGATAGATTGATGTAGTTTTGTAGGTATTAATTGTTTAACTATTGTTAAAAGTATAAAATTACTATTTGAGAAACTCATCTCCGTCATAGTACCTTCACCAGAGGGAGACTTTGCACAAAAGTCGATTGCGGGTACCTCTGTCCCATTTGTGTTTCAACCGTGAAGCAGTTGTGTTTGATGTATGTATAGATGGTCAAATATTTATATTTATTAGAAGTTTTTTTTTTATGGATGATAATGGAATGGTAACCCCACCCGCGCTATCGGTATACACCGGCGGGACACCAGTGAATGATGATAGATGAGGATGAACTAGGTCAGTTAGCCCATCATGACTAATTCAACAAGAATTGTTCACGATGGTTTCCAAGGGGAACCACGTGGAGGTCGACCTAATAAGGCATATTGATAGCAATGGGGCTGTCAAACTTCATTGCTAACAATCCCTTTCCCCCCACACTATTTATTAGAAGTTTACACTCCAGTATATGATAGTTGGCAATTCGATCCCTACACGTGTTTCTATTGGTCTGGGAGATTTGTTTTTTATTAGCGTGATGGGGCGACTCGTCGAGTTTCCTAAAATATTGTTGAGCACAATGATAGCTGACTCATCAGTCATTCTCGTGAACGGGTCTGCTCATGTTTGCTTGTTTCTTTTCTTATTAGTAATAATATATATAGAATTTAATTCTAACTATAGTTACAGTATACATGTAACAATCATTTGAAAAGAGTAACTGCTGATTTTCTTGAGGGTTCTTCTCAGCAGATACCAACATTCCGAACTCAACCATATTACAATCATATAAAATTGACAATTTAAAAAAGCTTGTAAACAAGTCTATTTAAATAAGGATTATTTCTATTCTATTAAAAAAAAAGTGGAATAAAGCTAATACTTTCGATTTTACTCTGTGTAATAAAAGCTTTTATCACCTGATGTTGGGTTACGAAATTTTTCCGGCATTTATCGTTATTTTCACACCTCTCTTTGTTTTGCTTCCCAAGCGTCCGTCCGGTTTTATACTGAATCCATTCGTAACGACGATGGCTTTTGGAATTCTGTGTACAATATTTTATTATTAATTTATAAACACTTAATACGACACGACGAACTTATGAACATTATAATAGAAGGAAGGAGGGGAAGAGGGAGACCGAGGCGTAGTTACATCAGGCAGATCAAGGAAGGAGTTGGTGTCGTGTCGTATCAAGAGGTGAAGAGACTCGCTGAAAATCGTAGTGAGTGGCAAGAGCTCCACCGACAAGACCGCAGTTCTTAAGATAGACGGATAGATAATTTTAAAATCTATATTGAAAAATAAAAAAAAAAAAACTGTCAAAAAGCTATTTGGTCATTTTGACCATGAATGTTTATGAATCGGAATTTCAAAGTCGATTTCAGAATTGACTCTAAAATGAAAGGACAGAGGGAAAAAAAAATTGTAATAAAATTTGTAAACTTTGATAAAAAAAAAATAGTAACGTACCGCGGCAGCAATTGTCATATCAGCCTCGACGAACGTACAGTTGAGTATGGTGCCTTTGCACTTGGGTTGCTGTGAGCAAAATTGGTCTTTAAAGCAACCATAGTTCTTGGCTACTTTGTAATTGACGCAGTTTTGCTGGCATGTGCTCTCCTGGTTCATGTCTATTTCATTCTCTATATAGCCTTGCAGTAAACGAATTATTTCATCGTAAGTTTTGCCTGTAAATCGATATCGAAATGAAATTAAATGAGTTTATTTGCATTAAACAGTTTATAGTACATTACTGCAGCGGCCATCAACTGAGGCATTGATGGACGAACGTGCGAATGTGGTATTATCAATGCCTTCGTGGCCAAGGCTTGTTTAAACAATGCGCGGAAATCAAAAACACAATTTTACTTTTTAAATTCAATGACGAATAACGAACAATAATAATTTTTCACGTGCCATAATATTCCTTTGTTTTTTTTTTTTTAATAAACAGCTTTCTGTTTGCAAGACAGTTCGAAATTTAAATAAAACCTTGTATTAACCTTCTTGGTAGCCATGTTTCGAATTATATTTCCATTTTTAAATTACAGGACAGATATGAGTTTACATAGTTTTATCTGGCCGCAAAACAACAGATATGGATTTTCATATAACTTTGCCGGCCGCTGCCCACATTATCTGTTCATTTTTGATTTATCATATATGCTCACATTTCCAAGCATGTTTGAGAAAAAATTATTACAAACAACGTGGTATTATTTTAGCACCTGTTTAATTGCCTTAAAAGATGTAGGCATGCAAATATTTTACATTTTATAAAAAAAAAAGCGGTAAATAAAATTATAATTCAATTATATTATTTAAATTGACCTTACATATTAAAAGTCTAGGTTATAGTACATTATGTCACTTATACATATATCTACACATAACAACTAATACAATAAATTTATAAAATAGAAAAATTACAATAGTAGGGGTAAAATAAATAAAATGTCATTAACACTCAAGATATTCCTAAAAAAAAAAGTTTGTCCAAAATTTAGTTAGCTCTTTTTTAAATTTAATCAGAGGCAATACCTGAATGTCAGAAGGTAACCCATTAAATATTTTTTGTGTCATAAATGAGATGTTTTTTGATATAGCGTCAATGAACTTTTTGGGACAAGTAGTTTATTTTTTCTCTGTGTCCTGACTTGTGCCTTTATGTCCCCATGTGTTGTGAATAAATCTGGATGGTTCTTACTTTGAAATACATATATACTCGTAAAGGTCATCTGACTTCGTCTGTGACTGTCTAAATTAATATTATAATGGAAACAGGTTTTTTTTTTGTTTTTTATAATGGACCAGCGAAACGTCCCGACTTCGCACGGATGCAATGTTGATACTACATATGTAAATAGCGTCGCCGGCCCCCCATCACATTACGACATCACATTAGAAACCTAGAATTATGTGTTCTTCTACAATATTATGCATGTATTATACATACAAACCTTCCTCTTGAATCACTCTTTCTATTAAAAAAAAAACCGCTTCAAAATCTGGTGCGTAGTTTTGAAGATTTAAGCATACATAGGGACGGACAGACAGCGACAGCGACTTTATATTATGTAGTGATAAAATCAAAAAATCCTTTAATGGTTTTAAATATTCTTTTACTTGTAAAAAGCTACATTATCTGAGAGTAATATAGTAGTGCTAGCTAGATATATAGCTGATATATATATATATATATATATATATATATATATATATATATATATATATATATATATATATATATATATATATATATATATATATATATATATATATATATATATATATATATATATATATATATATATATATATATATATATATATAGGATTTTTAGTGACTAATATAAAAAATTGTGTCCGTTGGTAAACGCCTCACATGAGAACGTCTAAACCGATTTGGCAACATTTAATATAGTGTACAATACTTTTCCTTTGCGAAAACCATAGAAACGTTCTGATGGTAACGCTTCATTTCGGCTCCATACATGAGTCCATAACACAACACGTGTAAACTGTATATAAAGGTACACAAGTAGTAAAAACCTTGGTTATGGTTGCTAGAACGAATTTTGAAGTATTTACACACTACGTAATAAATTCAAGTACGAACTAACAAATACGCTTTAATTATATGGTAGATTAAAAATATTCAGGGTGATCACGTACCCCGTTCGTGTTGTAAAGGGTCGCAACGGTATAGCTCTCTGTTGGCATCAGCCAATGCATCCCTAGTGGCCTGTGCTGTCAGTAACACGCTTTGTACATAATGCGATCTTGTTGAATTCGCCTCTGTTGTTGTGTTGCCTGTAAATTAGATAAGGTTATTTTTAGATGTGGCAATGTTTTTTTTTTACTTTTTTTTCATACAACTTACAATGGCAAACAAGCTAACGGTCCAGCTGATGGAAAGTGGTAACCGTCGCCTATAGACATGAGCAGTACCATGGACATAACAGAGTATACTGTTTCGCCCATGATACCCCCCAAACAAAAAGTACTCGACGGATTTTACCGAAACTTAGTACAATTATTCTTCATGCTCTTGGGCAGGTTGTAGTATGCTTTTCATCATGCTACGATCAATAGGAGCAGAGCAGTGAGGGGAAATGTTGGGAAAACGGGAGAAAATTACTCCATTTTTAAGCTTCCGTCGCGTGTGCAGCCTTAATGGCCACTTTGTAAAAATGTCTACCCCTGCGACGCCGGGACGGGCTGCTAGTATTCAATATAGGTACACATTTGACAATTTTATAGGGTGGGTATTCCCTGATTTTATCTATCAATACAAGCGTCACTATTAGTTAGGTACCTACACTTGAAATTTTATTATATATGTACACAAGTACATATTATTATATACATAATAATTATTTGAATAACATGTTAATTTGCGGTTTATTTGTTACGGTTTTATTTGTGTTTTTTTTTATTTATATTAACATATGTACTGTAATACTGATATTATATATCGTATTCTTGTAAATAGATTTTAAACAAGGATATTTTTCCTTGTCAGAATAATTATGTTATAATCTAATTGTAGAATTATTATTATAATTTAAACTCATTTCCACTGGTCGTCAATTCTTTTTATACAACTTAGAATGGCAAACAAGCTGACGGCCCACCTGATGGAAAGTGGTAACCGTCGCCTATAGACATGAGCAGTACCATGGACATAACAGAGTATACTGTTTCGCCCATGATACCCCTTAAGCGTTGCCATTCCTGAGGACTCAGGTGTTATTCCTCTGTATCTTGTAAATTCACGCCATATCCCACCCTTTAAATTGAAACACAGCCATGCAAACACAACTGTCTCAAGTTAGAAACACGAATGGGACAGAGGTATCCAAGCAATCGACTTTTGTACAGTCTCCCTCTTAAAAAAATACAATAAAATATATTTGAAACCTGGTCGATATATCTTCAGTAGCATCCAAGAGAACTGCATCATGGCGTAGCCCTTGATCTCCGCCAGGACTATGGTGTTGTACAAGTCGTAGATGAGCTGGTGTGGAGACACTTGTAGCTCGCACAGCTCCGATCGATTATAGTATTTACGTTGTTCCTATAACATACATTGACATATTATAATGCAACATATAATTAAATTATAGGGTACAGAGTCAAAACCCCTTAGTCTTTAGGAATGGTATGGACGATATCATGGGCAATACAGTATATTCTGTTACGTCCATGATAATGTTCATGTCTATAGGTTACCATTATCCATCAGGTGGGTCCTGAGCTTGTTTGCCATTCTAAGTTGCATAAAAAAAGAGCTGTTACACTACTGCAATCGTGGCTATTTTTCCAATTTTTATTATGTAATAAAAACCTAATAAGTACAAAAATAAAAAAAAAATGACGTTATGTCGAAATTCGATTTTTTCGTTAATACTCGTAATTTTTTCTGGTGTTAAAAAGAATTAATGGTCCGAAAATGAAACATTCGATCCCTATCATTTTTAGGCTGTCAAAAGTTATAGATATAAGTCAGCAATTTCTCCGAAGACGACTTTTTTACAAAAAAGAAATTTTTTCATTTTTCTTACTACGTTAGTAACAAAAATGAAAGTGATTTAGATGAACTACTAAATTAACTGGACGCGCTGCGTCAGCATGTACTTTTTATCATTTTCGTATCTTGATTTCTTTAAATAAAATGTTAAATTAATCGCTAGATATAATTTTAAAAGATCTCCATTTTACCCTTTATTCATTTACTCATTATTGCTAAAGCAATCTCTTCCAGATAAACTTTATGTAAATGATTAAAATAAATATAACATATAATATAAACGAATAAAAAATAAAAACTCCTTATTTTCAAGTGTACAAGATACAAATTACCTGCACAATAATGTGGAATATTTTATCAATCAATATTGACTTTTGGAGCTGAGACATAGCTCGAGACACGGCAGTCTTAGGATCACTAAGCACACTCGCCGCCAAACTCAACCACTCCCTGACGCGGGCTGGCTTCACGCCCGGCTCGGTCTGCTGCCTCATGAACTCCAAGAACGTTGCGTACATCTCTTGGATGTGCCGCACTTGCTTCTGCGGCTTTTTCCACCACGAACTGCTCAGCACTGGTGGGGCGGCTAGCGGCCATCTATGAATTTCATCGTCGAATGATACAAACACCTTGGCCAGGTCAATGTCAGCGGAGCCTGACGTACGCCACTGCTGGTCATTTAAGTAATCCCATTGTTGCCTTTCAATTGTATAAAGTTTGTTTCGGATCTTATCTATCGGAGACAATCCGTTTGTTGGAACAAATGTGAATACCGCGAAGAGCCATGATAACCTCATTACGTCGCGGATTTATTTTATAAAAATGATAGCGAACTTGCGTCCAGGACGCATCACCTCTGCAGAGTGGCGTCGGTGGGCGCGTGCGGCAAAGGTTGATTATCAACGTGTTGCGTAGTGAAGGCATACAAAAACCATCCACGGCTCATGTCGATAAACTTGGATTATTTTCTGTTTGAATTTTTACCTGATTTCTGTACACAGGACTAAATCAGAGTTGTTAGTTGCTCGTAAAATTAATGCATTCAATTTTACCAGAGGGAGACTTTGTACAAAAGTCGTGCTTGGGCATATCTGTCCCATTTTTGTTTTAACCGTGAAGCAGTTGTGTTTGCATGGATGTGTTTCGGTTTGAAGAGTAGGACAGTAGTGAATTTACAGAATACCTAGGAATAACACTTTAATCCTTAGAAATGGCAAGGCATGGGGGTATCATGGACGAAACAGTTATACTCTGTTATGTCCATGGTACTGCTCATGTCTATAGGCTATGATTACCACTTTTCATCAGGTGGGCCGTCAGTTTGTTTGCCATTTTAAGTTGCATAAACTCAATTTATAGAATATGTGTATTAGGTATATGTATAGATATATATTTACATATGTAAAGAATGCATGCCTCTCTTCCTCCCTCCTTCTGTTGTAACTGAACAGCAAAACGCGTCGCAGTAGTATGGAACTCTCAAAATTATCGATGTCATTTATCGTTTATCCTTTGGTTTATTTCTTTGCGTTTCACATACAATTTAATATTAATTATTATAATTACACAGTACAGTTTATATATGGGCAAGTGGACGCCCGTGCTCTTCTTTTTTCCTGCTACTATATATATATACTATCCATATATATACTATCCACACTTCCTAAATTGTCTCACCTTGCCGCCCGCTTCGCTAGAGAGAGAAAGAGCGATTTGGACGAGTATAGCCAAAGAAAATATGTTTTTTTATAGAACTTTGAATGACAAAAGAGTTGATTACATTTTTTGGCATTTTTCAACTTGTGTTTCTTTAAATAATTGTTGAGTTTAAATAATAGAATATCCCCATAAAAGTATGCTAATGACTTTAGCTTCCCTCTTTATAATTACAACCTTCCTTCGCCTATATGTATGTTGTCTAAAATTTAAGATTGGAATAAAATCGATGGGTCGATTTTTTTTTTAATAAAATGTTTTTTCACTATTACTTAATCGATAACTTTACAATGAATGTTATCCATGTGATAGTGAATGGTCGTTTATGTAACTATCTGTTATTGTGTACATGCATACGTAATATATTTTGTTTTGTACAATTGGAAACAAGCACTCGCGTTACATTTTATACTGTGGCTTCCATGGTATCCCCCATATATTTTTACTTCTGTTAGCTAAGGAGCTGAGCTTCTTTTGTCAAACAAGAAAATGTCAAGTCTAGCGTACTTTTTCCTTCAAAATTAGAACACAATAGATATAGTTGGAAGCAGTTTTCGAGTATGACGAGTGAGCTATCGTTACATTTCAGCAATTCATCCCACCAAATCCCAACCCAGTTCTAATTAGAGCTACTTATGTAGAAAACATTTGTAAGTCTATGATGTCTCCAATGGTGCTGTTAATGATTATGGGTGACACAGGATCGGTTGTCAATTAGGTTGTCTTTACTGCCAGATATTTTATTCTCTAATTTTTTGTAGTACAGGTTATTTTTGATCAAAGATTTATATAATGTAAGTGAGATGTTTTATGCGTATGTCCAGTTTGTTGTTCTTAATTTTTTTTATACCACTGAGGTGGCAAACAAGCATACGGCCCACCTGATGGTAAGATTACCGTAGCCTATGAACGCCTGCAATACCAGATGTTTTACGCGCGCGTTGCCGACCCAAGTCTTTTACCCCCTTTTGTTGTTCTTTGTGTATGTTTTTGTCATAATCTGACCCATAATAACTTTATTATCATTCGAAGTGATGATATAAAGTTTTTATCATCAAGTCGTTTCTCCAAATAACCTGTTCATATTAAAAATGATAATTACCTTTGCCAATAACCAATCATCTAAAATGTACCCCACAAAATTTTTGGCCCTATTTATCACTTTGTTGAGCTTGAAGCCAACTTTATTGTTTTTTAATATGCTCACCTAGAAGGACACATCATCATCATTATACCAGCTGTTACTGTCTACTGCTGAATATAGGTCTCCCCCATAAGGGAGGGTTTTGTCAGTAGTTGCCACACTTATCAGGCGGGTTGGCAACTGCCGTTAGGCTTTTGGTGATATTTTAAGAGGGATGCTGTTCGACCGTTAAGTTCCCTTAGTCTTGTTTTATTACACGCCTGGACCACGTGGAAGAAGGTCACGTGTACATAATAAATATTAAAAAAAAACGACTTCATTATGCACATACAACTATGACGGAGAACACATTCCATTGGTCATATTTGAATTTAGAACGTGGAATCTTGTATGAAAATAATTTTTCTATCGCAACACTTTTTAATTACAGTAAAAGAAAAATAGCAGCTGCAGTTTTCATAAAATTAATTGGGGTTAAACCATGTCGATTGCAGAATTGTAAAAATCTGTTCATAATCGGTGACGTAACGTAGCCACAAAAAAAAAAAACGAACAAACGAAACGAACGTTTAAAAATGAAGGGATTTTTAGTTTCTTAAAAATTAAAACGTAAACAACATGCCATCAGTTTATCGATTAATTTAGATAAAAAATATTTATTATTTAATTAATGTTGTTAGATTTTTTCATGAGATGTTATCACGGTTTCACGTTATACTAACAGTAGATAACTACTTTCCAATTACTTGATAAAATAAATGTTATTACCACTTATAAAATCTGTTCAAGGAAAATTATTGTCAGTTTTCAGAGTTCCGTTGTGAATGACCAAAACTATAGTTTGATTGTTACCTCTCCTAGTATTTTGATAAGTTTAAAACTGTTATTAGAAATACTTATTGAATAAAGCCTATTACACATTAAACGATAACTTAAATGACAAATGTGCATGATATTAGTCGATCATGCACGGGCTTTTAACGACCACGTAATTCCAGACATTTAAATAAATACACATAATGTTAAAAGAGATTTAAAAGAGTAACTGTCGAGTTTCTTGTGCGCTCTTCTCAACAGATAGCAATTTTCCGAACTCTACAGTACTCTACAAACTCCATTACTAACAATCCCTTTCCCCCGGGGGGTTATCTTTAGTAATGTATAAATTGAAAAAGCCTGCGGAACCCTATTATCGTGCAATTAGACTCACATGTCTGATTTTTTTAGATAACCTTAAAGTACCCGCTCCTTACTACTGTGTATATGTACGTAAATACCCATGCGTCCGAAACACGGGCTTGTTGTTTATATGTCGTTATCGAGTATTTACGAATATAATCTATAAACCGCTAAAATTCCCTGAAATAGTGTCCGCCTAGGGTTGCCATCCGTTCGGGTTTCCCCGGATTTGTTCTAGTTTAGAGGGCATCCGGAATGAGTTCGGGCGGGGCCAGTCCGGGTTTAAACAATTCTAACTGATTATTAAAACAATTTGTTACAGACTGTAAAAAGATTCTGTTTTGTTAGATATATTTAAAATGATGATAAAAGATGACTAAATTTATTTTTAAATCTGAAAATAAATAGGCGATTTATGTTTTTTATTACACTAACTATGTTTAAAAAACAATGTCCGGACATATCAACAGGATTTTAAAACCCAGAACTCGGGTTCTGGGTTCTAAAGTCCGGGATTTTCACGCGTTTCGTCCTGGTTATCAAAGCTTAGAGATGGCAACCCTAAGTACGCTGTTATCGGTACAAGTCTACGTATCGAGACAGAGTGGCCGCCGCGAATGCGCTATATAATAATCTATATTATTATGTGGGTAACCCACATTTTAAGTATTAGAGATTATCATTTACTAGCTTTTAACCGCGACTTTGTTCGCGTTACCGGTAAAAAAACTAGATAGACGATCTTTATTGTTTCCTCCAAAAGATTACAGTAATAAATTTATTATCGTCGTCATATCAGCCTTTAACTGTCCACTGCTGAATCTCCCCCTTGGGGGATTTTGCCAGTAGTTGCCACGCTTAGCAAGCGGGTTGGCAACTATGTGATGATGGCTTTGTGTAATTTTAAGAAAGTTGCTGCTGTCCATCCCTCGATTAAAAAGTTCCCTTAGGCGCCTCTTACGACATCCACGGGAAAGGAAGGGCTGGCCTATTCTATAGCAGGACCATACAGCGAGTAAATTTATTATAGATACAAATAATTACAAGAAATGATCACAGTGAGAAAACAATGGGCGACCTCTAATCGATCTAAAAGCGATCTCTTCCAGGCAACCTTTGAATGGAGAGGAGTAATATTAACCCTTTAAAGCCAGATTTTTTAAATCAAACAATATATAAGTGTACCCTTTACTGTGTTTACTAATGGGGAAAAATAGTAAAAAAATCAAAACGATATTTTTATATATTTATTTTGAAAAAAACGTTTGGTAACATGTAAACAGCCAAATATTAAAATAAAATCGATTGTAGGCGCCCAATGCGGTTTATAACTCCGGTATTATTTGAAACTTCAGGTATTTAAGGATTAAAATTAGCAATAGCCTATATCCTTCTCCGTTCCATATTCTACATGCATACGGTATTGCACTACGATGACTTTGCTTAAAACATTAAACCACCAAGGGCCAACAAAGCAGAATAGAAGATCATCAAAAAGAAGGAGGTTCTTGATTCGGTTGTATTTTTACGTTTGTTACCTCATAACTTCGTCAATTTTTAACCGACTTTAAAAATTATTATTTTATCTGAAAAGATACACTTACAGATTGATCCCAAAATCGCTTCGGTATTTTAGTTTTTGAATCAAAATCATTAGTTTAGCCAGCACTGAATTCATCACTGAAATAGACTTATTTTTTTTATAATTTTTGTACAAACAGCCTCAGGTCTTTTTATGATTTTACTGCTTAGTTCAAAATGTTATTATATATGTATATCGTATGTTGAAAAGACTTCGCAAGAAACCCAGCAATTAATCTTTACAAATCAATACAAAATTTTGTATTTATTTATTTACTTATTAAACTTTAATGCACCCAGCCGACCGTAGACAGGAATAACAGAAAATATTAATAATAGAGTAATAAAAATAGAGTTCATCAGAATATCTATATTATTCTTTAATTTTTTTGTTTTTTATAATCTTAAGTAGTAAATACACAGTGTATGAACACTTGATTTTGAACATGATGGATGAGCCAGGCGTAATTGCGTTCAACCAATCATATTTATTATTATAAAGATTATAAAAAAAATAAAGAATACAGAAATTGAATTTAGAAACTGTTGTCTTCTTGCCTCTTATTTCACTATAGAATAAAAGTACATTAAATCTGTAATAATTTATTATTTAATATACTTAAGAAAAATAGTACGCTATGTTACATTGATAAATCTGATAAAGAGATGCGAGCATTATGGTTGTGGTGAGGAGGGATCGCGCGGATGACGGACGCGCACGTGCGGCGCGTAGTCATAGGTGAATAGCTTGAGCGCCACGAACCCGCCCGAGCCCACCGCGCCGCGGTGCGACACGCCCGCGCCGCTCAGCAGCACTCCGCCTGCGCACGCGCACACACACGACAGTGGAAATACAATGCTCGCCGCCACCCGCGCTACTTACTGGTTTACGCTGGCGGCGTACACCAGTGAGAACGACAGATGAACATGTGACGGGACAGGAAGATTTAACCAAGATTGTTACCAGGAGGGCTGTTATTTTAAGTGCTGACAATTAAAAATTCTGTATATAAAACAATTCGGACAACAACAAAAAACGCCTGAATAGATTTTAATAAATTGTAGTTAAGATCCGAGATGGTCATGTCAGCTTTAAAAAAACCCAATCGTAAACAGTCCATTCGTTTAGGAGCTCCGATGGTACAGACAAACACACAGACACGTTAAACTTATAACACTCCTCGTGGGGGCTGCATCAAGTGCGTGAGACCGTTTGAATTTATTTTCTCTCGCGTCTTTTTATTTTTTTCATTTATATATTTTAGAGATTGCAAATTTGAGTATATGATATTAATTTCAACATGATACCTCCACATGTTCCTCAAAAAAAGAGTCTTGAAGGACAAACGGACGGACAACGAAGTGATCCTATAATGGTTTCGTTTTTTCCTTTGGAGATATGGAACCCTAAATCTCAGTTTAGAATTTGTGATTATCGCGAATATACAGACAGACGCGACGGGAAACTTTGTTTTATAATATGTAATAATAAAATTCAATATTTGGAGAAAATTAATATCGATACATACGTCCATACGGTTCCAGTGGTTGCACGTCAATGAACGGCACGGTGCTCTGCGCAGCGTCTTTGTCAAAGTCGCTGTGTGTGAACTCTAAAAATTGATCGTGTTTAGAATCCACGGGCAGTGCAGCAAGGCTCCGTGTCGGTAGGTTCGGCCGATTCAGTGTTAAACGACTCCTAGAAGGAACACCATTTTTTATAGGAGAACTTTCTATAAAGTCTTCTTTATTAGGTTTCTTTAAGAGACATAAGGATTTGCAATGTATTTGCGAAATCCTGCTATTTCAGGCAAGCATGAGCTGCGATAATTTTAGCTGTGCCTTGTGTTTGCCACCATTGTAGTATAAAAGAATTAATACGTTACTACGTACACAAACACACACACATTCGTTATGTTATTAATCTTTAGAGGACGTTCGGATTTTTATAAATACCGAATTTGGTATTTATCCAATTTGTTACGTATTTTTATGCAACTACCAAACAAAAAAACAGAATTTGTTTAGGTACATTACAAAATACAAGTACACACGTAGTCTCAGATGTCAGGAACATGGGAGTGTTATCGCAAGTTTTTATATAAAAATAACGTGGTCGATTTAAAATCCAATGTAGTACCACATAGTTTCAGTCTTTACTCAATATCTGTTTCAATTTATAATAAACTACCTACCTATATAAAATGAAAATAAGTTTGATAAATTTGTTAGATTATTAAAAAAAAATCTTTTTCAAAAAGGCTTATTATCAGGTTAAAGAGTTTTCCAGTGATAAAAATCTATAGTTCTGTTCGAATAGAATGTCTATCTCTCTCGCTCCAATTTCTAAAAAGTAAATGTGTTCATTTATACTAAATTTGTCTATGTACTATGAATCCGTATGAGATATTTATAACATTACATAATAAATAAATATAGTATGGTGTTGTATGTTCTTAGAACATACAAAAATTGTCATCCAAAAAATTCCTTTCACTGCTCACCTAGGAGTTTTGCTTCCATCTGTGTTGTCGTTGTCGATCCACATGCTGTCTTCTGACAGGTGGCCTGTTTCAAAATTTAATTTTGTTGCCCGGATATTTAGGTTCAAATGTGCGCCCAGTATTCGAAATCTGCAAAAAAAAATGTATTATGACCACTACTCGTTCAAAATTATCCCATCTGTTGTCAAGAATCTCTAGACAGTATTATACATAAACACTTCACGTTGCTTAACAGGGGACAGATTATTGTGCCTTGCGAAATCCAGGGACAAATTATCTGTAAATGATCCAAACGGTAATTTGAAAGATTCAGAGATCTATGCTAAAATCGAAATCTTGAATTTCTCGGACCGCAGGCTCTCTGTCGCAGTCGCTGAGAAAGCATTAACATCACATAAATTTTACTATTATAATAAAATTGTCTGTACATAGGAAATATTTAAGGCCTTAATAAGACTAATAGATGCCAAAACAATAATTTCTAGAAATTTTGTTTGCCTTCCTATATGTTTGTTCCAGCATTACGCAAAAACTACTGCACTAAACTGAATGCGGTTTTCTCAATTATGTTTCTGAAGGTCTAACTTAAAATCTGGCATATATTTTAATTTGATACGCCATCTAGAAATGGCCTGTTTCATTGGTTTTTCTGCTTTTAAAGTCCACGCGAACGAAGTAGAGGGCAAAAAGTTAGTCACTAGTACAAACTTAAAAGTTACAATAATAGCTGGTCCCACATCTTCGTGTGAAATTTTATTATAAGAGTTGTAAGATGTCATCTCGACTGTAAAATAGCTAGCGCAATATTGGGCCCAAAAAGCATAGTTTTTGGGTCCGATATTACTATGCACGTACCAGATGTAGACAGTATCATCATCATATCAGTCTTTAACTGGCCACTGTTGAATATAAGCCCCCCTTTGGGGGGTTTTGCCAGTAGTTGCCACGCTTTGCAGGCGGATTAGCAACCACAGTTTGGCTTTTGATGATGTTTTAAGAGGGATACTGCCGCCCATCCCTCGACCATAAGCTCCCTTAATCGCCTCTTACGACACCCACGGGAAAAGAGAGGGGTGGCCTATTCTATGCCGGGACCTCACGGCTAAATAGTATATTCAGTAATATTTGGCTTTAATTGAGATTTGCATGAAGATGCCTCATTTAGAGGTGAAACTCGTGTCGCAAAACGTGTATCACTGTTAATTACTAAATATGTATTGCTAAAGAACACAATAACGTAGATAAACTATGAAACATCACCTACCTCACTCCAGTTAAAACCCATCCAGCTGGCGCCACCAGATCATCTAAGTCGATAGCTCTTGTCCCATGATTCAGAGTGTGGTAATCTATGCCGTTTTTCATGTTTTGATCATTTATTTTGATTATTTTGTTGGGGAGCCAAGAGCCGGGACTGACGATACCATTTTTAAGAAGTGTACCTTCGCTGATTTGAATATGGAATACATTATTCTGTTTCACCAGACGAATTCCAGTTACCACCCTGAAAATTATTTATTGTTAAACTGTCATTTAAACATGTGTATTCTGAAAATATGCTTTTTACTGATATAGTCTCCGATAATACTATTATTAGTTGACAAATAACATTGTTTATTTTTTTGCATTTTTGGTAAAAATTGAAGATTATGCCAATCTATTTTCTTTCTTGAAAAGATTGTCGAATCAACTGAGTTTTGAAATTTAAAAATAATTTACGGATATCTTATTCCCATTATAAAAAAAAATACCAAAAAGGATTTAATGGGGGATGACTTCATCATGTAAATTTCGCGTTTTATTAGTAACCAAGTAACTAGTCTGGCCATAAATACTGTTACATAAAAACTTTTCTTTTTTTCATCTTTTTAATTTAAATTTAAAACACGTTTATTATTTTAAAAACTTCTTTCCATTTTGCGCGATTTCACATGTTTTTTTGTATTCATTATCAAATTACAATGTGGAATGGGGTGTTAAAGAAAATAGGATTGCAGTGAGATCACCTTGCACAAAGTATATTGCGTAAAGATATAAAGCCGTCGGTCATATTCCAGACACTTCAAAAACTTGCTATCAGCCGTATGTTCGTATATTGTACTATCAACAGATACAACAGCACTTCTTCTGTCGAAAAACAGAAAAGATCGGAGTGGCCGCTTGCTGTTAGAACTACAAAGGCTGTTAATGCTAGAATTAGTTGAAACCCCAAAAGGAAGCAAAAAATCTTATCGCGAGAAATAAAGATTCTCGCTAGGACTATGTCGCATATTATAAATCAAAACCTGAAGCTCGGAGCTTATCGTCGATATACAGGGCATGCCCCTAATCAATGTTTACAATTAAAGAGAGTGGATCGATCAAAACACCCGTCGCGATACGCAGGTGAAAGGCACAGAAATATCCTCATTTCCGATGAAAAAATTGAAAAACACTACAATAAGCAAAATGATAAAGTATACGCTCACAGTTCTAAAGAAGTTGCTCAAGTGGTCGGAAAGGTACGACGTGGTCATCATCCTGTATCAGTGATGGTTTGGTGGAGCCTGTCTTATCAAGGAGTCACTAAACTACATTTTTGTGAAAAAAAGGAGTGGAAACTTCAACCAAAGTGTATCAAGATCTTGACAGTCTTGGATCGTTTTGTGAAACCTTTCAGCAATACACTTTGTAAAAATATATCTTGGAATTTCCAGCAAGGCACAGCAGGCACGAACTGCCCAAGCCTGGCTTGAAACCAACGTTCTAGACTTTATAAGAGTTGAAGACTGACCCTCATCTAATTGAGACCTCAACCCTTTAGACTTCAAATTATGGTCAGTTTGAGAGGACATGACCTGCTCTAAACGACACGGTGATATTAAGTCTCTTAAAAAATCTTTGAGGCAAGCAGTGGCGAAATTTCCCTTGGAAACAGTGCGTAAATCCATAAATTCGTAGCCAGATAGATTAAAGGCCTGTATAAAAGCCAAAGGTGTCATTTTGAATAGAATATTTTTTTTTATTTTTTGCTAATAAATATGTAGGTATAAATTTTAGTAATATTACATTACTTCATAAAGAAAAATACATTTTCATTTGTAACAGAATTTACGGCTGGACTAGGTAGTTATTGTCTTGTAACATATGCACGTCCTTATGTGCACTATAACTAACTACTAACTTGTTTTCTCGAATATTGGAGGTGGCTTCCTTGAGACTGAAGTAGCGGTCGGAGTTTTCTGGGTCGTCGCATAAGCACATGCAGTATGAACAGTGCAAGAACCACCCGCGCCACCACGAGTTCACCTGCCGACAATTTCTAATTTGTCCAATTTTTGTTTGATAACAATTTCGTAATATAGTTAAATCATTGACTTACTCTTTTTACTCTTAACGAATTCCTTAATATTCCAAAATCAATGATGAATAGTAAAAATATTGCTTTTTATAAAAAAAAATATATATATCACAAAAAAAGACCAACTTTAATCATGTAAAAACCAGTTATTTTGATTTAAAAACACATATATCTTTTTTATTTCTAAATCGGTTAATAAAACACGGAGTTATGAGGTAACAAATATAAAAAAAAATACAACCGAATTGAGAACCTCCTCGTTTTTGAAGTCGGTTAGTAAAAGAATAGTTATAACAGTATTACTTGGTACGTATTTCCTTTTTGAAGAGTACAATTGTTTGCTTCTCCAAACTTGGGTCCGTTACTATATCGAATCCATTCATAACGACGATGGCTTTTATAGCTCTGTGGATAATACGACTATATCATTATTAATTTCCTACATAAGATATATGGAAACATTCTTCGCTGTCCACGGACCACAAATTAGATATTTTGTCGTCCGTGCATAGCGCACTTCTGTTTTAATATATATAAATGCTTGTCCATTCCCATGGGTGTCGTAAGAGGCGACTAAGGGAGGGCGAGAGATGGGCAGCAGCGCCCCTCTTAATGGACAGTTCAAGGCTGATATGCAGATGAGGACTAATACTATATGAAAGTGATTTTGTTTGTCTTGGCGTTGTTACTTCATTTTTAACATTATTTGAGTTATTTTTACTATTATTTTATCCCTGAAACGCGCCCATTAATAGGAGCTCCTATCGAGTTCGAAACTAGTCGGGTATCGACATAGCCGATATAAATAATTACAGTGCAGCAATTACATTAATATTTGTACATACATAATGTTTTTACATTTTCGGGCCGGAGAGCGTTAATTGCCTATGTACGTATTTAGAATTCTTCTTATCTGCACTGCAAAATCAAGTATAGTTTCCTCTGTTTTGGGAGAAAAAAGTAGACACTTTCCACGTCACTCCATTCAGTGAATACCACCTGATGTTGTTTTTGCTATCTTAAATTTTATTCGATTTTAATTTCATGCAAAAAATACGAATTATTCAAGCAGACACCAAGGTAGGCTTTCCAGTTACTTCGGAGAAAAGATAGATGGTAACGTAAAGCAATTGCGGTCTTTTTATATTGAATCTATATTATTCTTATATTGTCGTCTATATATAATACATAATGAAAATATAGATAATAATAACTCACCGAAGTACACACAGTCATATCGGACTTGACGAAGTAACAACCAAGTATATGGCCTTTACACTTAGGTTGTCTCGAGCAAAATTGGTCCTTAAAACAATTGTAGTACTTGGCCACATTGTAATACTCGCAGTTTTGCCTACATGTGTTTTCATTGTTCATGTTCACTTCGTTTTCTATATAACCTTGCATTAGACGGGTTATTTGATCGTAAGTTTGCCCTGCAAATTAAGTACATCCCTTCTTTGCGTTATTTTTTTTTACTGGTAAAATAAATCAAGTTGATATAATTTATGTTCAAAATAAAAAAAAATGGTTAAAAAAATAAATTTGAAGGTATCCAGACACGATCAACTTAAAGTGAACTTGATCTTTTATATAATTTTTGGGCATTCAATGTTATGATGGAAATTTCCACCATTATGCAAAGAATAGGGATATACTGCAACTAGCTTTTTGCCCGCTCCTTTGAACATGTGGAATTGAGAAGTAGGACAACCATTGAAACATAACAACTTCTTATTGGCGCATCAAGATAAAATATACACCAGTTTTAAAATTAGATCTTTAGGAATACAATTGTGAAAACTGCATCGCATTTGATGCAGTAAGTTTTGCGTAATACCGTAACAAAATGCGTATACGTATAAGAGAAACAGACAAAATGTCTAAAAAATATTATTTTTGCTTCTATTGCTGTTATTATGATCCTTCATATCAATTTTTCTTCTATATCTCCCATACACAGACAATCTAGTTACAGTTTTATTATGTCAGTAAGAAGTAAGGTGGTATGACCTAAACGTTTTATTGTTTTAAAATCTTCTTAAAACTGTTCTTAAACTACGTCGAATTGTATTCCTGTATGTTCCTTGAATGAAATCTCTGTTTAAATCTCAGATAGTTAAGAGAACATGCCATAGTTTGTTCCACTAAAATAAAAAGTTTTTGGAATTCTTTGTCGCCTGCAGACTGCTTCTAGCCTATCAATCTGTAATAACTCATTTGCAGTAACGTGCAACCTTACAGTTATATGCAAGGCTGTACCTAAATGCACCAGATGTTAGGAATTTTTTAATTTATTCAAAAGTACTTTAATGATGCCGTGTAGGACCCGGCATATAATAGGACATCCCTTCCTTTCTCTTGGCTGTCGTAAGAGGCGACTAGGGAAATTTATGGTCGAGGCATGGGCAGCAGCGTCCCTCATAAAACATCTCCTAAACCCTGACTGCGATTGTCAACCCGTCTGCCAAACATGCCAATTATTGGCAATCCAAAAGTTGGAAAAGGCCTATGTTAAGCAGTCGATAGTTGACAGCTGATATGATGATTATCGTGATTTCGATGAAACCATCCGACAAAGATTATGCGGTATTAATACATCAATTAAAAATTGAAAGCTAAAAGGTAACGAACACCACTGGACCTTCTATATGTTGTAGTGGGTCGCAGCGGTACAGTTCCCTTGTCGCATTAGCCAAAGCATTTCCAGTCTTCTCTGCTATCTGTATAGCGTCCCCTTCATATTGCACTCTCGTCTGATTTACCTCTTCTGTTATGTTGCCTGTAAATTAAAAATCACTATTGTAATACTACAAAAGTGAAAATACTTTAGCTGTATCCTCCTCTCTCAATTGTATCCGAGTCTATATTTTGATCCCTTCTACATGCATAAAATCAGCAGTTAAATTTTCTGTAGTAACAATATAAATAGCATATACATGTTTTTGGTCCTCTGAATATGTCTTTAGCTATCTATAAAGCGTCACTCGTATTTTCGTACCCTTATCATGGTATATTCATGATTACATACATCCTTGTGTTAAATTATAATAATAATTTAACCACTATCTACTTATTTACATATTAAAATTTTATATATATATATATATATATATATATATATATATATATATATATATATATTGTGGTATTGTTTTATTTTATTGTTATTTTTCCTTGTCAAAAACATTGTTTTAATTACATAATTATATACAGCAGGAATTATTTAAAATTTATTTGAGGTCTTCTAATTATCTTGCTACATTTTTTTTATTGTATTTATATATATATATATATATATATATTATTTTTTTATTATGTATATATTGTATTTATGTAAATATTCGCATATACAATAAATGTTATATCATATTTTGACAATGAAATTTGGAAACAGAATTCAGAAGTTTTTTTTAATGGGTGATAATGGAATGGGAACCCCGCCCGGTATACGCTATCGGTATACGCTGGCGGGTCATCAGTAAGAGTTGACAGGTGAGAATGAAAAGGCAGATCAGTTAGCCCATCGTAACGAATTCCACTAGAGTTGAACCGCGTAGAGGTCGACCTGATAGGGTATATTGTTACTAATCCCTTGTATACTTATGTAGATAGGTTTGTTGTACCTGGTCGATATATCTTCAGTAGCATCCAAGAGAACTGCATCATGACGTAGCCCTTGATCTCCGCCAGGGCTATGGTGTTGTACAAGTCGTAGATGAGCTGGTGTGGAGACACTTGTAGCTCGCACAGCTCCGATCGATTATAGTATTTACGTTGTTCCTATAACATATTGTTGTTTAATTGCCACCCTTTAATATGGTCAAGTATGTGAAAGATATTTTACCACGGCCAGAATAGAAAATATTCAAGATTTTATTGTCTTTAAAACTAACATGCTTTTAAAGCTTATTTTTCTTTTTACAATTCTTTTAATGTATCTTATGGGAAACTTTTGTGAAAACTGATGTTTCTGAAACTTAACAATTTCGAATTTGCGTTGATTTGTGAGTTCCTTTCTTCTTTTATATGTGTACGAGCAGAAAAATCTCAACAATTGAAGTAACTTTATATTGATTTAAACGATTTGTGTGATAACTTCCCTTTAAGTGTAGTTCAGTGCAGTCGAGAAATAAAAATCGTACGATTTTGAGTTCGTGTGAGTTGAGATTCTTGCCTTTGTATCTGATAATAAACGTCATACCTGCTGATGGTATAAATAGAACCCTCGAGTCACCTCGTCAGTGTATTAATAGAGAACAACATCCCCCTTTTAAAAGAAGATACCTACTTCCAAAAGTGGTACTTTTATGGGTTGTTCAGATTAAATACAAATACAATATGTACTACAATTTACCTGCAAAACGTTTTGAAACATCTGATCTCTTAATACTGACTGATGGAGCTGAGACATAGCTCGAGACACGGCAGTCTTAGGATCACTGAGCACACTCGCCGCCAAACTCAACCACTCCCTGACGCGGGCTGGCTTCACGCCCGGCTCGGTCTGCCGTCTCATGAACTCCAAGAACGTTGCGTACATCTCTTGGATGTGCCGCACTTGCTTCTGCGGCTTTTTCCACCACGAACTGCTGAGCACTGGTGGGGCCGCTAGCGGCCATCTATGAATTTCACCGTCAAATAATACAAACACCTTGGCCAGGTCAATGTCAGCGGAGCCTGACGTACGCCACTGCTGGTCATTTAAGTGAATCCATTGTTGCCTTTCTATTGTAAAAATTTTGTTTCGTAGCTTATCTACTGGAGATAGTCCCTTTGTGGGTACGAATATAAACAACGCAAAAAGCCATAGTAACCTCATTATGTCAGGGAATTACTTTATATATTATAAATAATAGCGAACTTGCGTTCAGGACGCATCATTTCTACAGAGTGGCGTCGATGGGCGCGTGCGGTAATTACCAGTTGATAATAAATATGTAGTGATGTCCCTGAGAGACATCCGTAACTAGTGTCGATAAGGTTTTAATTTAAATATAATATAATGTATTTTGTTTTTTATTTTAATTTTTTTGTTATACAACTTAGAATGGCAAACAAGCTGACGGCCCTGTTGGAAAGTGGTAACCGTCGCCTATAGACATGAGCAGTACCATGAACATAACAGAGTATACTGTTTCGCCCATGATACCCCCCATGCGTTGCCGTTCCTGAGGACTATATTATTATACTCAGATCTGCAAAAGCGGTGAAAAAATCAAGCTTCTAAGTCGACGCAATCAAAAGATACGGCTGTTTATGGTCCGTTTATATCGCATATTTTGACATTAGCAAAGGGTATTAAAACTTATAGGGTACTTCCCGTTAACCTAGAATCATGAAATTTGGCAAGAAGCAATGCCATGTAGCACAAGTAAAAGAAAAAATCTGAAAACTGTAAATTGATTAATTGAAGTAATTAGCACAAAAAAAATAAAGCTAGATGATTTTGTACGGAACCCACGTTGCGGGAGTCCGACTCACGCTTTTTTTCGTTAGTATAGTAATTTTTGCTTAGTGTACTTAAAACTATGACAGTACTTAATTACTAATGTAGTAATCTCCTTAAAAGTAGTTTTTATTTGCTAATTGATATACAAGTGGAACGCGGAATCGTTCCTATAAATGGTGTCTATTTCTCAACAAGTTATTTTTTGCTTTACAAAGAAATACAGCAAAACTGCAACTTTAATCGACACTAAATTAATCTCGGTGCAACATGATTATGATGCCTATAGATTGCAAAAAGAATTGTCAAAATCAGTTAAGAATTGGCCACGTGGCTGCAAAGCACATGGCCACAAATAGTTCTAATAACACCCTTACACTTCTCTTACCACTTTATAAGTCTGGCTTTATGTCAGACTCCTTCACCATTTGAGCTTCAATCTAAATTTTTACCAATTTCAATAATGAATTACCGTAATCATGATTCACTGTTCATTCCAAAGTTTGACTGGTAGAGAATGCTACTAGCATTAAGTCCGCCTTTTGTACCATATTTTCTTTTGGTCAATTAAGTTTGTCTAGTTCCTTTGTTTGAAAGTTTTCCCAATATTGTACACCGCTCTACCCGCTGACATTGATGCTCCTTTCCACTTTGAGTTTGCTCCAAGAGAACTCTTTTAGAGTTAAGCTCGCCTTTGTACGTTTGATTCCCTCTGTTATATTTTTGTGTATAATTGGTGTGTACAATAAACTATTAAATTAAAGTTATTAAAATAAATAAACCATGTTATCAATGTCGCCTAAGAATTGATGACGACTGATGACGTCATTTTAAATTAAGATATTACTGTACGAGGTCTGTCCGTAATGCGAGAAAGAGGAGTGGGGAGGCGTTTGATTCCCTAACAATGTTATATTTTTGTGTATAATTGGTGTGTAATCAAGTTTCTCTCGAAACTCGGCAAGAATAAACATATTCAAGAAAATTAAATGTCAAGACAATATTAAAATAAATAAACCATGTTATCATTATGACCGAACACCCCCCCTATTCGCCGGATTTGGCCCCGTGTGACTTCTTCTTGTTCCCAAAAACCAAATTGGTACTTCGGGGGCGGCATTTGGGGGACATAAATGAGATAAAAAAAGCTACGACGGGGCAGCTGAGAAACCTACAACAGAGGACTTTCAAGGAGCCTTCTCACAGTGGAAACGGCGTTGGCACAAGTGCATTATGTCACAGGGGGAGTACTTTGATGGGGATAAAATTTATTTACCTGAATAATTGTAAAATAAAATTTTTAAAAAACTTTTATACGTACTTTCGTACAAGAATGTATGACTTGTTTCTTTTCATAAGGTACAGTTTTTTCTTAATCAACCCAGTATATTTTTTTATATTTATTTATATATCGCCTTTCATACAATTCATTATAGTCGTCATTAATCCATTCATCCCTTTTTGGTCCCAATATTCTTTAATTTCTGCCTACATATTATCAATCATGAAAACCACGACCAAAAACTTCAAACTTTTTGTACATAGTTTTTTTTTTCTGTTGTCCTTTATCAACATACTCATTCATTATAACATTCGGGTCTTTCTGTTTCATTTATCTAGTTAAGTTAATCCTTATCTTTTCCTCATCAACTTATTTTGAAAAGAAATAGTTTTTAAAATTTCTGCAATGATAATGTAGAAACAAAACGCGGATACGTCTTAATTTTATTTATTTATCAAAATGTTACATTACGTTATAAAAATGATTATATAATGCTAAAGACTAATTGAGAGGCGGCATCAGCTCGGTGGTATCTGTGTCAACGTCGTAATACTCGTTGACGGGCGTCTCGGCCTGTATGTGCCGCGAGAAGTCATAGGTGAACACCTTCAGCGCGATGAACCCTCCGTTACCGTCCGCGCCGCGATGCACCACACCAGCACCGCTCAGCAACGCACCACCTACACACACACATATGCAACGTCTCAGAAATATTCCACATTGATTTAACAGCAATAGTTGTCTCCTTGGGTGGGTAAGGCCGTCGTTACTTCCGTTTGTAATGATTTGTTATGTTACATACAATATTTCAATAATTTGTCCCGTTGATCAATCAGTTTTTCTTCTCTTTTAATCGTTCGTCATCAGTGATTGTGGTTCTGTTCTAGATCGTCAATGTTTTATTGTGTTACGTTCAATTTCCTACTAGATTGCGTCACTAAAAGTTTATCTCAAGTCTTTATGAGATCTTTTAAACAATCCTCATCTATTTATTTTTACTCAATATGGCTAATGCACATATGGCAAGTCAATTCTTTCAATTCTCCAAGGCATGACGTCATGTCAGAAATGACAACAAATGACTATTAGCATATAAGTTTTAGTGTTCTATGGTATCCACGATGGTATTTATATCTGTTAACGATGATTACTATTTTATCTTCACTATACCAAGTGAACTGTCAGCTTATTTGTCAATCAAATTTGCATAAACAAAATAATTCTACCGTCCTTAATTAATAACGCCAAGAAATCCCATTTATTGTTTTTTTTTTAACATTTAAATTGAAAATGTTACGTAAAATATTATATCTTTACCTTTCAACGTCTGCACTGGTTGAACGTCAATAAAGGGTACAGTGCTCTGCGCGGCGTCAGCGTCAAAGTCGCTATGGGTAAACTCCACGTATTGATCGTGTTTGGAGTCCACTGGTAGTGAAACGTGGCTTCGACTCGGTATATCAGGGTAATGTAGCTCCAAACGGGACCTGAAATAAACAAGTGATCACTACACTTCCATTCATGTTCTAATTTAGTGTTGCTAGTATTAACATGTTATTATCAGCATGTTAACAGATTTCTTCGGAAATTGAATAAGTTAATATAATCTCCAATGTATTTGTTGAATATTAAAAATTATTACCTCGGTGTATCTGTACCGTCGGTGTTGTCATTGCTGATCCATTGGCTCTTGTCATATGCAAGACGACCGGTTGCGTAGTTGAACGGTGTCGACCGTATTTCGAAGTGTAGATGGGATCCAATCATGCTAAATCTATAATAAATTGAGAAATAATAATTAGATAGGAATTTGGTACTTGTAAAATAAACATAATTGAATTGTAATTACTACCTCACTCCAGTTAAGACATGACCGGCTGGCGAGTCCAATTCATCTAAATCGATGGCTCTTCGTTCATACGTCAAAGTATGGTAATCAACGCCTTCTTTTATTCCACTTTCAAATGGATCAAATTTTTTAATCGGTACCCATGTGCCAGGAGTAATAGATCCTCTCTCACTTAGAGTACCTTCGCTAATTTGAAGATGGAATACTTTACCATGCTTGACTAGGCGAACTCCAGTGATGACCCTGGAAAATATTCATATATATGTTATGTAACGTAATTTACAAGGGTTTTAAAGTTAGGACACCCGCACCCATGCTGTTAGTAGGTATATGTTTACTTTGTCTCCAAAGCAGTGATTTGATATTTTAATATCTAACTACAATACATTTTTAGCGGAAAGTGTAAATATTATAACACCAAACTATAAATCCCTCTATTGTATTCGGGACTAACTTATTGTTCTTTACGTCTGCCACTGCTTCCTTCATGCTGAAGAAACGTTCAGCTGTGTTGACGTCATCCTCGCACAGGCAAAGGCAGTACGAACAGTGGAGGAGCAACATTCTCCACCATGAGTCGACCTTAGGAAAAAAGCAGTTGAAAATGAACATGGGAAAAATAGCTTTTAAAATATGGAAGTTTAGTGTTATATATTCATGCACCTATTTACACTAATTGTGCGGGTGTCCCTATAAATACGAGGGACTAACTTGTTATTTTTAACATCGGAAGTGCATTCGTGGAGACTGAAGTACCGGTGAGATCTGAAGTCTGCGTCGTCACACAAACACATACAATAGGAGCAGTGCCAGAACAACCAGCGCCACCACGAGTCCACCTGTAGACACTCTGACAATAGTCACTATTCGAATTTAAGATGCAAAAAAGATCTATTTACAATCTGTAAATCAAATTCAGTTATAACAACTAGACACTTTGTCACAATATTGTACACCGCTCTACCCGCTGACATTGATGCTCCTTTCCACTTTGGGTGTTGCTGGAAGAAAGCTCTATTAGAATTAAGCTCGCTTTTGTACATTTCATTACGTCTGTCATATTCTTATAACTGGTGTGTACAATAAAGATTTAAATAAATAAATAAAAATACTGTAGAATTGTTTCTACAGAATTGATAAGAGAACATTTATTTATTCAATAGCTATGAAATCAATCCTCTATCCGTTTTGTGCTTTGAATAACAAACAGTTTTCACCTTTGTTGTCCCCCGCATACAACTTCCGACTCTTCCAAGTGTGCGTCCGTTTTCATACTCGATCCACTCATACCGGCGGTTGCTTTTTGCACTCTGAAATTTGTAACAAATACTTGTGTAAATTAAAATTGTTGATAATATTTCACCAATTATTTAGGTTTTTATATCATAACTGCCGTCCTATCAATTTCATAAAGATATCAGTGACTCCCTAGAATTTAATCTCTCCTACAATTCCTAAAAAAATGAAATTTGCGTTTGTTATCGCCAAATGATATGGTTTCAAGTGGTTATTACTTACCGCAGGGCACACCCACATATCGGAGTCGACGAATTGACAATCTATGATCCTGCCTTTGCAAGCCGGTTGCTTCGAACAAAATTGATCTTTGAAGCAACCATGGTTCTGTGCTAAAGTGTAAAACGCGCAATTTTCTCTACAGGTTCCATCGGCGTTCATGTCCACCTCGTTTTCGATATATCCTTGCAGTAGACGGGTCACTTGGTCGTAGGTTTCGCCTGTGGAAATGAGCATAATTGATCTGTTTATTTTGTTTTAGACATTTTTACTATTTTAATGATATAAAAAATACAAATGATCAAATATCTCCTATAGTACAAGTTCCTTGTATTTGACGCTCCATTGTTTCTGTCTACCCTAATGGAGGACAGGGTTGACAGATAGGTAGGTAGATATGTACAAGTTTTTCGTTGTTTGAGACTAGACGGTATTGTGTGATATTCTCGGATATCTTTTCTTTGTTGTATTCTAAAATAAAATTAACTAACTTTATCGTCCCTTTATCCATAACCAGTTTTGCTTCGAATCTACATTACTATCTGACCTTTGGATATATCTCAGGTAAAGATTGTTGAACTTTTCATACCTTCAATGTGCTGGGGTGGATCGCATCTGTACAGGTCCCGTTTGGCCTGAGACAGGGCCGCTCGCGCTGCTGCTGCGGTCTGGTTTGTCCTTTGTCCGTATCTTTGTCTCGTTAGACTTGCCTCTTGTGTGAAATTTCCTGTAATATTAATATTGTAGATTTTTAATACATTAGTAATTATTTTGTATCGCTTATTCAAATAAGTTCATTAATAATATTTTAATTCCATAAAGGGACCATAACCTTCATGACTCATATCATCTTTTGTATTGTATTGTAAAGTTTTTATTGTACACAATTTATATTGGATACATAAAAACATTAAATATACAATGACATACTTATCCCATGGAGATATTTATAACAGTCGATCTTTGAGAAGCTGAAAGAAAACTATAGTATGTTCGAAGGTAAAAATTGTACAGCTAAAGATAAAACTTAACAATATGTAAATAATAATAATAATATATTAATATATAATAAACCTACACAATACGTTACAGTTTGTTATGAAAATACTTTCGTGTATTAGAACTTATGTACTACGAATATAAAGTATAATTTAGTTTGTGTTTGTCATGTGTGCGGTTTTGTGGTCTGTCAGATATATTAACATATGAAACTACCTAAATTGAATGGCTTTATAAGTGATAACGGCGATACAAACGAAGTGCATTGTACCTCATTTTAAAATGTAATTTCAGCATTAATTTAAGTACTATGTAAACGTAGACTCATATGCAAATGTAAATTTGTCTCCTCATTTCCGCACTAAGCCACTCATTTGGGCCGTTATACGTGCGAGTCGTGGCCCAACAAACTCTACCCAGAAGCCTCCTGGTAATCGTTCCAGGAAGCTTCTGTGCTTTACTATGGGTATTAGCTCGTAGGTTATTAATTGATTCGTATTTAATTTAATGTAAATAAGTTATGACACATGCCACGTGCCTTATTTGCAATATTTATTAATTTTTTAGCGAACGTTAGCAAGATATAAGTAAACGCAGCGTAATAAACTTAATAATATGAATGAACAAACAAGTAATCCTAACAATATTACATATATTAGGTAATAAATTAATTTGTGACTATATTAATTTTACGACAACAAAATTAGAGGGAATCTATTGGAAAATTTTGAGCCTCAATGTTATTGCGTGTGTGAATATTGTTGTATTAGCCGTTAACTGCCCACTGCTGAACATAACCCTCCCTTATAAGGGGGGGGGGGGGGGAGGTTGCCAGTAGTTGCCCCGCATGGCAGGCGGGTTGGCAATCACATTTGTCTTTTGATGATGTTTTAACAGGGACGCTGCTGCCCATCCCTCGACCATAAGCTCCCTTAGTTGCCTCGTACGACACCCACGGGAAAGGGAGGGGTGGCTTTAAAAAACTTTAAAATATATAATATAGCAATTATTATGTGAGTATCGCTCACCTCTTCCGTACACTCTGAGGAGCATCCACGAAAACTGCATCATGGCGTACCCCTTGATCTCTGTCAGCGATATGGTATTGTACATATCGTAAATAAGCTGGTGGGGTGACAGCTGCAAGTCGCACAAGTCGGGATGTTGGTCCTGGAAATAGCAATTGAATAATTAAATTTGGGTTACCCGCATTTGTTCAATATGTTGGAACGCTAATTGGGAAGGGGGCGCCACCCTTCTTGATGCATTTATTCCATGTTTAAAATATTAATGACATACGAGTAATAGGTATAAGTGTTTTTTTCCTTTATTTAGAATACTTTTTTTGTTTAAATGAAAATGGCAAACAAGCTGACGGCCCACCTGATGGAAAGTGATAACCGTCGCCTATAGACATGAGCAGTAGCATGGACATAACAGAGTATACTGTTATTGTATATTGCCCATATTACCCTTTATTTATTTATTTTCATTTATTTGATTAAACTAATAATGACAAAGTAAAGAACACAATACATTGAGAAAAACATAAAAGAAAACATTGAGTAAATTTGTCACCAACACCGTTTACCACAGTTTCGATTCAAATATGCATTGCCATTCCTGAGGACCAAGGTGTTATGCTTCTATACTTTATAATTTCATAAATGTATATAAAATATTATTTAATGTAGTAAATTACAATTTTATCTTTAAATCAATATTAGAAAATAAATTATAACAATTTGTCAGAGGAACTTCGTAATGAGTTCATTATGAATATGACATAATTTACTAATAAGCATGTAATGAAATATTCATTACTTTTAGGTTTATGTAATGGAATGTAATATTTATCGATTAGCATGTATAACCTAATTATCAATTAATATGAACATACCATGGAATTCTTCTACTAAATTCTCATACATAACAATACAGGTATACCTTTTTATTGTTGTAATATATGTTTGAAATTGTTATGATGAATGTCATACAGAAAGAATGATGATGCGTAAAACATTTTTATTCAACGTCTCTTTAGAATGTTATAATCATTTTATGTTTGTCATCAAACCAACAAACGTCTACGTTTTTCTTTTCAAGATCCATAGTTTGTTTTAAATTCTCTTTACGATGAACACCATTATTTAGTAAGTACTAGTATTGTGAAAGTTACTACTTTTGCTTGGAATGTGGTTAAAGTGGAACAGACATAACAAGAAATTGAAAATAAAATATCATTGTTCGATAAGCGAACGATATTGCCTTGAAATGCTAATTTCGACAAATTTTTTACATTGAATTAAAGAATTAGGTATTTACATGCAAAATTGTTTACATTCAGACAAATTTTAGTAAATATATTTTGGTCGTATAGTAAAAATGCCCTTCATATAAAAGTAATCACTTTTGAGAACATTGAATAAACCTAATTATTAACATTTTTTTTTCGCCAGACGAAGGCAGTTTCTCTATCCAAAAATTCCAGTGTTTGTAACAAAATGGCAAAAGTGTGACGTTTGCATTAATTCCAATTCCTATATAATGAACATAAAACACTATTCGTTGATTGTTGAATGTTTTTAGCCTCGTGTTACCAATTAAATATTAGATGCTTCGTTCATGTAAGCAATTGGTTTCAATTACTCCACACAAGATATGATAAATATATATATTTTTTTTTATTGAATTAGTTATTCGATGTTGATGGAACTTGCAAAATAAACGCATTAAAATTGTAAGAAGAATGACATCAAATAGTTCTTAATTCTATTCAAGTTTTCTTGTTTTTTTTTATACAACTTAGAATGGCAAACAAGCTGACGGCCCCCCTGATGAAATGAGACAGTCGCCTATAGACATGAGCAGTACCATGGACATAACAGAATATACTGTTTTGCCCATGATACCCCCATGCGTTGCCATTCCTGAGCACTCGAGTGTTATTCCTCTGTACCCTGTAAATTCACGCCATATCCCACCCTATAAACCGAAACACAGCTATGTAAACACAACTGTTTCACAGTAGAAACACGAATGGGACAGAGGTACCCAAGCAAACGACTTTTATACAAAGTCCCCTTCTCTTTTGTTTGATATCCAGTAATATGTCGAGTGTATAATATTTTTCTATTTAAATCGTTTCTACTACGTTAAAGACATTCAAAATAATGTACGTTCAGCACGTCTCGTGTTGTGATAACGCTTCTGGATCGTATACATTATGTGGGCGCGTATCTAAAGTTATTACATTAATCACTACGTTTGTTTATGATATATTGAGTCGTATAACTATCGCGTATTGATAGTAATGTTATTATATTACGCGCCGTCATTAAATTTTAAAACTGAACCTTCTAATTGGATGTTTTGATGTACATACAAAAATTTGTTGTTTACTGCTAATTTCGATTAGAAAATTGGAGCGCGCAATTTCATCACATCAACTTGTATTTGTTACCTGCAATATTTTTCGGAAAAGATCGCCGTGTTGTATTGAATGTTCCAGCAGCTTCACTGCTTGTGGCACCGATGTTTTCGTGTCCATAAGTATGCTTTCAGCTAAATCCAACCATTCCTTCACTGGTGCAGGCACAGAACCGGGTACCGCCTGGCGTTTCAGAAACTCGATAAACTTAACGTACACCCCTTCGATGAGCTGTATTTGCTCCAAGGGCTTCTTCCACCACCACGATTTCAAGGGTGGTCGGGGTACCGGCTGGGTTGACTGGATTCGACCGTCGAAAGCGACAAATGCCTTTGTTAGCTCGACGTCACCGAGGCCGGACTCGCTCCATTCCGGATCAAGAACGTTTATCCATAGTTCTCCTTCAATTGTGTAGAATTCCTTGCGTATATTGTCAAACGGCGAGAGATGGTCGGCTAACACGAATGTCAGCAGCGCAAAAAGCGCTGTTAACCTCATTGTGACGCGTTGTTGTAAGGTAACGTAGTATTGTACGGCACGGGGCGCACTGAACTAAGCCGCTAGCGCAGGCAGCGGCGGTCGAAGTGAGGGAACAGCTTGCTATACACTTTGACTGACTAGTGGGGATCGTTTAGTGATGCTCACACAACGTCCGACCCCTCGTATATCGATGTTTATCTTATGCACGACCTAATCTCTCACTCCACGAACGAACACTGGAAGAAAAGTGACATCGTCAACATATTTTATTGTGGCGTAAAACATTGAACTTTCAATCGACCTCTAGCAGCCAAATGAAATGCCATTGTTTTGCTTACGTTTCCGCGATGGAAAGGAAACGTTTGATTGTTTCAAATTGATGATTGTCAATTATTCTAATTGACTCACGGATTTCGGATGTTTGCACAGCTGTTTTGTAATGGTATGTAAAAATTAAAAAATCAAAATCACGTTGACATTTTTTTATTTCATATGTATATTTTTACCCATACCATTAATGCTGCTTTATTTTTTTAGTACAATTTTATCGCTTATGTACAAATATCTTTTGTTTAATAATTAAACTTTTTCATATGATATATAATCATAACGAATCGTTGTTGTCGAAAACAAATCGACATCGATCACCGGCTCTGGTACAACACTACCGCATTACTGTTGCCCATAGCCGTGTTTATATTCCGATTATAATGAGTCTTATATCCGTGTGAATATGGGCCTTTTTAACGTGCCACCGGTATTGTGACATGGCGGTATTATTATTGCTCGTTTGCAAGTAATTGTACAGTCGCGTCAGCTGACGACTCCCGCAAACCTGCTTGGAACGTGTTCAATTTTTATGTTGCTCTTTGTTTGGGATTCTCGGAAATGGATGAATCGAATTGCAGATAGCAAGCAAATATGTGCGTGCACTTAAAAGTGATTAGCGACCGAACTATTTTCGATATTTATTTATATTTTATATATATATATATATATATATATATATATATATATATATATATATACGAGGTCTGTCCGGAAAGTTCGTATAAAAGTGTTCTGGAATGCGAGAAAGAGGAGTGGGGAGGCCAGGTAAGCGCAGGACCCCTTCCTTATGTCCCTAACAATGCTTCAGTTCTGGTCTGACCGCCGTGCGGTGCGAACTGGCTTGTCACGCCATCTGTGAAGTTACCTCTTAACGAAACCCCGTCGGCATGGAGCCCGCTTCCGTTGAAGAGCAGCGCGTCGTAATCAACTTTCTCTCGAAACTCGGCAAGAATGGCCGTGAAATTTTTGCCGATCTCAGAACAGTTTATGGGGATGATGCTGTGAAGGAACCAACCGTCCACAAGTGGCTAAAAATGTCAAGACAATGTTGATTGTTTTTTTTCGATGTTCGGGGGATTGTCCATCAAGAATTCGTCCCTCCAGGCCAGACAGTTGATGGAAAATTCTACGTCGATGTGCTCAGACGCCTCAAAGCTCGTGTGGCACGAGTTCGTCCAGAATTGGCGCGAGAGGGGCGTTGGATTCTTCACCACGACAATGCCCCTGCCCACACCTCTCTTGTTGTCCGTGAGTTTTTGAGTAAAAATTCCATTACGGTGACCGAACACCCCCCTATTCGCCGGATTTGGCCCCGTGTGACTTCTTCTTGTTCCCAAAAACCAAATTGGTACTTCGGGGGCGGCATTTGGGGGACATAAATGAGATAAAAAAAGCTACGACGGGGCAGCGGAGAAACCTACAACCAGAGGACTTTCAAGGAGCCTCACACTCTCACAGTGGAAACGGCGTTGGCACAAGTGCATTATGTCACAGGGGGAGTACTTTGAAGGGGATAAAATTGATTTACCTGAATAATTGTAAAATAAAATTTTTAAAAAACTTTTATACGTACTTTCCGGACAAACCTCGTATATATATATATATATATATATATATTTTTTTTTTTATTTGGCTAAAGTAGTAGGTGAATCTTTGGTATATCTTTTTATCGAAATAACAATGCATAAAATAAACAACCAACTAAAATAAAAAGGTTTTTGTATTCATATGTTTTTTTTTTTATTAAATTACTAAATTCCTATTAGATAAAAATACATTATAATTGTGTCAAGGATAGAATAAAATAAACAGATAGTACATTACTTAATTACTTATTATTACAACAACGAGTCAAATTGTCTCATTATGTACCAATGTCGATATTTTTATCTCTTTCTATCGATGTGTTATTACAATTATAATTATCGAT